AGTTTCCCCGTAGCTCTACCAAGCTTAGCATCCTTCAGCTCGTTGTTGTCACAAGAGGCAGTAGTTTACAACTAAAAAACTCAAATAAACCCACTGTTACTTACCCAGCACCAATGACAGACAGACAAAGTTAGCGGCTAGCTGGTGAACACAGCTCAGCATTTAGCAGCTGAAGAGGCAGATATTTCCCTCAGGAATTGGTGGAGACCAACAACAAAGGTAAAAGCAGAGTGACACAGCTACACAAAAAAAGCTAATGCTGCTCTGTGTCTGCTGGATGAACCATTTCAACTTGAAATATGATAATTTGCCAGTGAGTTTAAAAGAAGCCAGCACTGACATTATTTGCATGACCACATGAGCCCACTATGTCAGGGCACAAACATTTTTCCAGCTTACAGCAGCACACTAATAGGAAACACGAAATTCTTTGCCATTTCCAGAAAGAGAAATGGAATCTTACAACCGGGTAGCCCACATAGTAGGTTTTCACACTTTTAATTGAATTTCATTTTAACAGCCCGATATACTCAGGGGGTGTGTACAATCTGTGCAGCATAGGACACCCTCTGTTCTTAGACCCTTGATTTGAATGAAGAAAAACCCTTATTAAAAGGAAAAAATGGAATAAACCTTAGGAAATGCAACATAGATGTCTTGTTTACAGCATAGACCAACATAATAAAATTACAGTATAGGCAATCAATGTCACTAACTCATGACTTTCAAAACTGACATGTTGCTTAGGTCGGTTCAAGTCTGGAGACAACTACTTGAAAGTGGTGGACGACAGTGAAAACCTCTGCTGGCAAAGCTCCACTGCCAGATTTTGGTTGTGTGGTAGAAATTTCTATCTTTGCTGTGTCATTGCTGTCAGAGATCTTGCTTCCAGCAATTATTTTCTGGTCTAATAATAAGACATTCTGAGATAGCTGGAGTGTGCCTTGTTTGCTTTCTTGTGTTCCATCTTTGTGCCATTGAAAATGGGACACGGTGTGGGGAGGCGGTATGCAAAACAAATTGAAAAAACAGGAAATTGTTAGTAACATCGATGGGGAAGTAAAGTTGAGCAACAATGGCATACTCATCGAAAACAATAGTATAAAATGAGCCTCTGTGCTCAACTTTACCCAGCCCTAAAGTTGTGACCCTAAAATTGACAGCTCATCAAATTAACCTCACACTGATAATCTTCCTCTTCTCTCATTGTGAGACTATTTGGTGCAATACAAAAACACACACGCTTGCTGAGCTGCAGGTTGAGCTGGGGATCCTGACACTTTGAATGTGGCATTCAGTCAAATCAAATAAATGCAGCATGTCTTCCTTCTGCAATTTGTTCTGCAACACTATGAATTCTGCTCACTTTTATACAGTGAAGATTGATTTATTATTACATTCAACACACACACACACACGTTTCCATGATGGACAATGAAGTTTTCTCTTGCAATTAAACTAAACACACTCTCACACACACTTTTTAAATTTTATGAGGCCCACAGTTCCTGGCAGAATCCTCAAGGTCGGCATGACACACGAAATGCTCGCATGATTTAAATAGGAACAAAATGTTGTTTTTAAAGGTATTTTATTACCGGAGTGTGTACAGACCTTTTGTAGAATCATCAATTGTAGCAATTCTTTAGAAAGCATTTTTTTCATAAGAAAGTTAGGCTTTTGAAAAGTCCAAATGCAGCAGAGCAGTCGGGTTCCTCATATATATATATATATATATATACGTCCGTCAGTCCCAATTCAAATCCAACTCAAATCGACCAGCGTCTGTGTGAAGAGGCCTGCTGCTGTACAGAAAATGGCTGAGATGAAAAATCCAATTCTTGATTAGAGGAAGCCATCTAGTGGCGGCTGAATGAAAGAGCAAACCAAAACAACAGCAGAGAGCCTCCATCTCCAGCAAGAATGAGAAGTTGTTTTATGGCTTAACAAAGACAAAACACACACAAGGGAAAATCAAAAAACTCTATTTTTTTTCTTCAAAATCAGCTGTGCCTTTTAAGAATCAGTGTGAAAATTAAAATAGAAAATAAAAATCTATGTTAGAGTCTAATACTTTACTATAACATTTCACAAATACTCCATCTATATAAACACTGATAGGAACACACAATATAAACCATTTGTGCCCTGCAAAAACCTCCAACTTCCAATGCTACCATTTACTGTATTTATTTTTACTGTAATTGACAACCAAGAGGTGTTCATTTTACAGTACCACTGGTACCAGGATGAGAAAATAATATACGGGGCATTTACATGACAATAAAATTATTTTTTTGGATCCATTGTTTGGGGAAATTTAAGGTCTCTGCAGCACACAAAGAAACCCACTTTTTGCAACACACAACACAAAAACTCATTCCATAACTCTGTTATATTAGTCTCCTGAAGACCAAAGTAGAACAAACAGAAATTTACTTTATCCTTTACCTTTCATTATACAGTACTATTAACAACTGAGATGTTCCAAAACATGATACTGAAAATTGATACTGAAAAAAAACTCCCACTGAATCAAATCTTGAGCTTTTAACATCAAAAGAAAGAGAATAGCTGTTTTTACTATCTTTACTGCCATTACATGCATTAACCCGTATTCAGCGGACTTCTCTGGAAGCCTGGTAATTGAGGTGTAGCTATCTCTCATAACATATTTTATACCATGAAAAGTACATTTTAAAGTGGATTTTTTCCACTTGTTAAATCTGTTCTGTGTGGCACTGTTTCGAATGAAAAGACCGCAGAATGAACAGTGCACTTATACATTTTAACGCCAGAGGTGACAAGTAAATAAGAAATTAAAAACAATATAGGAAAAATACAAATGATGCAAAAACAAGTTCCCGGCCTATAGAAAGATTCTTCTTTTCTTCATATTAAACAAATCACGAGTAAACACCTTCCTATTTCCTTGCAGGAAAAAAACAGAGTGGGGAAAAAGGGACAAGGAGGCGAGTGCTCCAAACTCCTTTAGCTCGTCTCCAGTTTGGCCATTTCCTGCACATAGATCCCAATGCTCTCGCTGTCAAACAGGACAAAGTAGACGGTCTTGATGGTGGAAGACATGGTGGCCACAAAGTAGCTGGAGATGGCCTTAAGGATCAGCTGGGCCGCTGTCTGCTTCGGGAAACCATTCCTGAAGGACAAGAACACACACACACACTTGGTAAAATCTGGTCAAACGCTGGAGAGCCTTGTCATTTTATATTTTCTTGACCTTGACTGTGGTATTCATTATGTTAGAGGGCAGTGTACACACAAACATAGTTATTTACTGGACAGTATTATACATAGTTTGAATATGGAGGATGAGCCAAGTTAACTTGGATTGTTTAAAATAAACAGTGTGAGACTTCTTGATAGCATGAGGATTCAGTCACTCGTAAAATTGGTAAAATTTTAAATACTCAAATAACCTCCAACTGACTTCTTCTTTTCCCTTTTCAGCACAGGCTCAATTCTAAGTTAACCAAATTCTCAGGACCTCTGCCCAGGATTATTCCTTCAGGAGTCTTTCAGGAGTGTGAACTTCGCACATCAATCTAAAGTTGTTTGTCTGAGGCTAAACCTGACTTCACCTGACCCCCTATCATTCAGTGGTTTTCAATCTGTGGACCAAACAAACGTCCGGCAGATAAATCTGAGGGGTCACTAAATGATTAACAGGATGGGAAATAAGAAAACAAGACAAAGAGTTTACCACCATGCAACTTAGCAACAGTGGTGCTTTGAGCTAAATGCTAACATGTTCACAATGAATGGTGATATTGAGCAGATATAATGCTGACAGTGTTCACCATCTTAGTTTAGTGTGGTAGCATGCTAACATTATCTAATTAGCACTGAACACAATATCACTGAATTTTATTAGTTTTGCAGGTTTTTGGTCATAAACCAAAGTATAAACATTTTGACCTGATTTGTCAAGTCAGGATGAAAAGTCAGGATCACCAAAGATATTACAATTCGTTCTGACAATGAATATCTGTACAAAATTTCATAGCAATCCATCCGACCACCGACCCACCAACCGACCCCAGAGAAACTCTAAGCTATGGTGGCTATATTTCTAGAAATTTTGTTTTAATTTTAGTAATTTAAGTTTATTTTTAGTTTAGGAAACCTTTCTCTAAATCTTATTTGCAAAAAGGAGTGCCTTCTTAGGCCTTGAAAACCTGAGATGAGGGTTCACAAGTAGACATTTCCTAATTTTAAAAAGGGTCTAAAGGTCTAATAGGTTGGGAACTACTGGTCTAACTCTCATGCTGCTTTCTCACTGTCTTACTGTTCCAGTACATGGCCTGTTTCTTTTATGTAAATCTTTCCAGATACAAGTGGAGGTGTTTACCACTGTTGACATGGAAACCATGTCAACTCCTGGTTTGACTTACACAGAGGAGTGAGGAAAAATGTAGGAACGGGTAGAGACACATGAGCACAACAGTTTTTTGCTGGCTCACCTTGTTCGGGTGAACACAGGTACAGTTTCTTGTTCTGGAACCAGGTTTGCAAAAAGAGTTCAAATTACCCCACTTTTTTGTCAAACTTCCAGTTTTAGATTAAACCAAAGCCTGGTTAAAAACGCCCTCATGCTAATATACAGCACACAGGATGTATTGCAGGCTTGTTGTTAATGGAGAAACACTGCATACTGTCTGTTAAGTGAAGATAATATTGCGTTTTCTTACAGCATCCTGCTTTTACAAGCATCAGTAAAATTCAGGAGAAATACCTCAAAATAACAGACTGCATGATGCATCTTTGGCAGGTGCGCTTCTTTCTATGTGTGTTTTCTTACCTTCCGCTACCAATGGAGGGGAAAGCCACAGACTTGAGTTTCTTTTCGTCGGCCAGAGCCAGGCAGTTCTTCACCGTCTTGTCCAGCATCTCCTCGCACTTGTCGGAGCCCCAGCCTGGACTGTTACAGTGGATGACGTACTTGGCAGGCAGACCAAAGCCGGCAGTCAACACAGCTGAGGGATGGACAGACAAAAGGATGAAGAGCAGTTAATAAGATGAGAAGGAAAGAGGACAGGAAACAAAGATGGGGACAAAGCAAAGGAAGAGAGGGAGTAAAAAGGACTTCAGGTAGGAAAGTTTGGTAAGAAGTGAGGATGATAAAAGTAATAGCATTCCTCGTGGAAATAAAATGTTTCTGTTTCACAAACGTGTCCCTTGTTTGCACATTCATTATAATATTAAGAATTCTTTGAGAATCTCTGAGGAATCAAATTTGGGCTGTAATAAATGAATTATTAATTATTTTAATTGCAAATAAGTCTTGATTATTTTTTCAATATACCAATTATTAGGTCTATAAAATGGCAAAAAAAAATGTGAAAAATGTCTATCACAATTTCCCGTGATCCACTGCTTGTTTTGTTTTTTAATTTTTAAAAGGTTAATTGTTAAACTTTTATTTAAAAACGAAGAAGCCCATTGAGATCTAATTTTTGTTTTCAAGGGAGACCTGGCCAAGAAAGGCAGCAAAACAGCATTTAAAAGTTACACTGACACACATGACAATACAATACATTAAAACATCTTCCAAGACACCTAATTACACTGCAAGTATCAGCACTCTTCCTTAAGGACATCTTCAACCAGGGACTTGAACTCCGTGGTAGCCTGCTAGACCGTGTTTTGCAACTACTGACCACAAAGTTAATCAGGCTATAAAAGGTAACTCTGTAATTTGCACAGGATTGCCTTATAAGTAAAAACATTCAAATGTAACCGCCTACGTTAAGCTAGAGAAGGCCATGCGGTCCACCGACAAGGACTTGCTCTCTGTCCCCCACAGCAGACTCCGGACTTTTGGGGACAGAGCCTTCAGCGTCACAGCCCCCACCCTCTGGAACTCCATCCCCACACAGATCCGAAATGCTCCCTCTCTTGATTTATGAAGGCATTCAATCTTGAATGACCTTTTTGTTCTGTCTGTCTATAGTTATGTGTAAAACGTCCTTGGGTCCTGTGAAAGGCGCTTTAAAAATAAGTTATTATTAGTTTTATTACTAGTATTATTAGTTTTATTACTCTTTTTTCGTATTATTACTAGTTTTCCTAGCAGAGATGATGGTGCTTGTCACGTACAACAGATCCCCATGGTCAATCACAGATATACAGATGGCTTGAACAAGTTTCTTCCTAGCTTCAGAGGGGAAACCTAATTTTGGCCTACCAAACAAACTGTTACAAATAGTCCACAATCTAAATGTATTTACTTCCCAATGACGTAAAGCAGAGAAAATCACCAAATCATCGCGACTCAAAAAGCCTGACCTAGTGAATGTTTGACTAATCAATCAATCAACTAATCTTTCAGCCCTAAGCAGAGTTGAAACAAGAGTCACTGTTACCAAGCTATAACATATCAAATATTCTAAAACCTCAGTAAACAAAAAGAGACAAGAAACTGGATGACATTCATCTGTAAGGCCAAAAACTGACACTAAAAACATAATGAAACAAAATGAAAGAACAATGTCTGTAATCACACACCCACTTGCATTATTTAGTTAAATCAGTACAAAACAAATCTGTGCTAGTTTTGTTTAGTCAGACAGTGAATGAACTTCTGACATGCTGCTGGATTTCCTCATGCGTCCATCGTCTACAGCCAAAGTCAGCTTCATTAACCAGTTTGTCAAAAGTCAAAACCTGATGTTCAGTTTGGAGGCCAAGTTGCTAAAATAACACTTTGCTTTGTGGAAAATGTATGTAGCAAATCTCTAAGAGCTTAAAATGGTTTGAACAGGGCATTACAGTGAGGTGGGCCAGAGAAATCACTTCTCCAGACAGCTGGAAAGGAAAAAAGAAAAAAGGAGAAGTGGAGCAGGAAACAGAGAGAAGAAGAGAGAACAGAGGAATCTGTTCTCTGGAGTTGAAACATTTGGTCTTCCCTCAAACCAGCAGCTGTAGACAGAATAACTCAGCCAAATCCCTGACTCTGAAGTGAGAAAGCCTCCAGTCAGATTTTATTAGCCCACAGCGAACGTGTGACTGCACTGGAGTCAAAGCTGAGGAGGAGCTGATTTCCAGATGGCACCATGGAAGATGGAGAGACTTCACACAGCGGAGCGAAAGCCAGTCACGCTGCATGTGTGATCTGGTCGGGAGGAAAAGTGTGTGGATGATGATGATGATGATGATGATAACGAGTTTCATGACTACCCACAAAGTTCGACTTGTTTTATGGTTTGGGAAGGAGGAACAGTGTGTGGTGGTGTTTGCGCACTGCACATCTGGAGATCACTTGTCAATTAAAGTATGTGGACAGCATTGCAACATTTCCGCTGATGCAGTTTTCAGCTTCTGTGGGTGGCGTTCTTTTTTGTCAATTTAGCCACGTGGCTAACTTATTTTTTCAATCCAAAAGGACTAAACAAAAAAGGCTCTGTTGCTGCCAGACATCTCCATCACATTACCAACCAGGTGTCATTCTATATTTTACTTGTTGTGAATAAATTACAATCTTTTAATATTTTCTGACAGGTCTGTGGCATTCAGCCTAAAACCTAGTTGGGCTTTACAACTGGAGATGTAAATCTTTAAAAATCGTTCACTAATATATAGCTGAAATTATTATTTCCTAAAATAGATGGGCACTGTAGTTTTTAGCAAACATCACTCAAACCGGAGAAAAAAGTACATTTGTGGCAGACTATGTTCAGTGCTTAGGTGCTCTGGTGAGATAGACAGTATGAGCATTTAAATAAAATAAAAAAATTCTACTTATAATCTATCGACTGATGTACATTTATTACATTACACAAAGACAGTTATCTCATGGAAAGAAACTCCGGACGGTGTGTGTGGGATTGACTTAAGATAAACTACAGTGTGTGTGTTCCTTTTAATGAAGGAGCATTCATCTGTGCAACAGTGTGTTTTTAATTAATTACAGATTGTCACCAGGTGTATAATTTACCAACGGCAACTGTAAAAGCGTTGTGAACCATGATTCTGTTCTATCAATCAGCAGAGGTGTTGCAAAAAGAAGATGTTTGAAGAAAAGCATTTCTGGACTATTGGTGCAATTTTTTGTTTCCTTGACCTAATGCTAACCTCAACTTTTTCACTGCATGTTTATCACAATACTGCAGTCCTATACCAGAAGAAGGGCAATACACACATTACTCACAGTTATCATTCCCCTTCCTGAAAACTGCTTGAATTACCATGGGAGCGTTTCATTTAGCTTACAGGAGGTAAAATCACAGCAATATAACTGCAAAGAGCTGCTCTTTAACTTATTTAGCTCCCGTTGTCATCTAACACTTTTATTTAACCATGTATGCAGCACAGCAGATCACTCTTATGAATGAACAAATGCATTAAAAATAATGATCAAGATGTCAACCTGTTTTCTGAATATTAAAAATAATTTTTTCAACTTCTCAAATAACTTTGTGAACAACTCTGGCCCCCGCCTGGTTTGTTTGCAAAATCCAGATGAGCAAATACTTTTTGTAAGTATTTTAAACATCCTGATTAACTTATTTGACAGCTGCTCTAAACCAGGTCTGGTCAGGATGACCGTTTGGCCGATTCAGATCCCAGAATCCCTAACAGGCTCTGTTGGCTCTGCGTTCAGTCACCTGGTAATCTATTTACGAGCTCCACACAGAGAACGGTATTATGATGCTGAGCTAACTTGGCAGAATGATAGAGAGAGCAGTGGTGAAGGTGGGGAGTGTTTGAGAAAGTGAGTGTGAGTGATGAATAATGAGAAAGAGACAGATGGAGAAAGAATAAGAGAGGGACAGAAAGAGAAAGTGGAGACAAATGGACTGAAAGATAAAATAATCTGTAAGGGCTCAAACAATACGGCTCTCTGAAGACTGGTGCCTGTAGTTTTTGACTAAAGTCGCCAAGAACAGATATTACGTGCCAGTACCTAAATGTCTTTCAATATTTCCCTGACAAAAAACTGTTTCTACAAAAAGATAAATGATAAAAGAAACTCTGGCAACATTTAGCCTTTTAGGGAAGAATTACTTACTCAAAGTGTGTGTGTGTTCGTGTGACTAATCCTTGCTGCAATGTCCCGACATCATTTGAGTGTGCAAGCAGAGGCCAAAAGGACCAAGCCCTGTTTGGCTTGCATGTTAGTGTGAGAACAGAGATTTACGGGTCACACTGACATCACTGTCATAGGAGCAGGGTGGTGCTTGAGTAGATCAATATGCACTTTCTAACCCCCTGAATGGTGACAATGGAAGAAAGACAGGCAGAGTGCAAAATAAACATAAATTAGAGCAGCACAAATGCAAAACAGAATGATAATGGAAGAGATGAGTGCTGCATTTCTCTTTGCGATGTGAAATGGGGTTTACGTTCACACTTGTTATGTTTTTCTCACGTGGATTTGGACGTTTAATAGTTTCAGCAAAGCGAGGGCATCTTCAAGCAGAATGGCAGAAAGTGTCTCTGATCACAAAATCTACAGACAAAATTGGTTGAGGTAGCTTCTAAGCTTGTCATAAAACTTATAGCTTAAGGACAGCCTATATTATTACTAAATTTTAGCTGTTACAATACAGGGTGAAAGGCAAAGTCACCCAACACAGAAGTCTTACTCATGCTCTACCCTTTGTTTTTCTAAAAGTTTTCTGAGTTTGCCTTGCTTCACTATTTAAAAAGTTCACAATCAGTTTAGATCTTAAATCCTAGCCAACTATCTGTAACTGACGGCAGGCAGTCCAAAATCTGACCTGTCAATATGTCCAAAACATGACCTACAAACCTGTTTATGCCTATCATTTAAATGATGAGCACAGCACACAATGTCACCGAAATTTAATATGGAAAATAATTCAAGCCTATTGGTGAATTGACAAAATCTATAACTACATAAATATTTGCTTGTCGAATATTGGCTGGTAAATTAATGGAGGAGATTTTCTGTTTGAATTTTGCAACTTCTAATTCAAAGCCTCGACAGCAGCTCAAGGTCAATTTAATAATGAAATGAGTCCGAGCCCAAATTTGTCAAAACCTTCAGGCTCCTCTGGCGAAATGACAAACCATGATTTATTTTTAAAATCCCTTTAGCATCCACAAGGTAAGCTACAGGAACTATTCGACAAATCCTGACATTATCTGCTCTGTGCACTTACCGCCTGCCACCTCCAGGGGGCCGTTTTTCTTCTTCAGCTCCTGCAGCGCTTCAGTGAACTCCTTCCCTCCCTTCTTTTCCAGAGCAGAGCCTGTAAGTGGAAGAGAGGATTGGAGTGATTACATCCTCGCATACTGCTCGCACGCACACACGCACGCACATGCGCACACACACACACACACACACACACACACACACACACACACACACACACACACACACACACACACACACACACACACACACACACACACACACACACACACACACACACACACACACACACACACACACACACACACACACACACACACACACACACACACACACACGCACGCAGCAGGAAAAAGGAAAGGCGATGTCATGCAGACATACAGGCAAGCAGGCAGAAATGGAAACAGACAGACGGGAGAAGTATGCAGGCAGACAACGATGCCGTCAATCATTTCACCAGGCTTCTCTCAGAGACTCTGAGCTCACACCTCTCCGTTACTTTATTTGTGAGACTCAGGAAAAGTCTCAAAATGTAATTTCAAAGCTTCCATTTTCCAAATGACTCATTCTGAGTCAGTTGAACTAATAAAGCCCCAGTCTCTAATTACTTCCCTCTGTCCTCACATACTGGCCTGTTTGCAGTGGGCTGAGGGTATTTTCTTTCACTTGCAAATTAGAGAGTTAAGAGTTTGACCAAAAGAAAGGCTAGCAGCATGCTACAGATAAACATTTAAAAACTCTTTATCTTGTTTCCACACACAATTACAAGTAAAACACTCCAGGCAGAAATTTATGTTCAACTCTGAACATATGTCTATACATTATAAGATCATTGGGAAAGCATCTTTCTACTTATTGTGATGGCTAAAGGAAGTCATTCCACATCGATCACACTATTTCAGATTTACTCAAGAGCTGAAGAGAGAAGCCACAAAGGAAACCAGAGAGGAGACGTGATTTAAGTCAACCAGAGGCAGAGAAATGAATGTGCTGGCTGCAATTTCATTAAAAACAGGCAGGAGAGAAAAATACATTAGGGTTAATTTCAGCCTTTTAAAGAAAAGTTAGAGATTTTTTAACAGCCAATACGAGCAAGCAGATAAAAAGTCAAATTCTCTGTAGCTGAGCCGCCTGTTGTATAGTCACTAATAATTAAATAGTTAAACATTCATTCGATGTTCTTTCAGCTGAACTGACAGCACAGTCCAGGGGACAGAGGTTACCAGATATGAAGTGAGTCCCAGACTGCCCACATTTCAGTCAAGTGGAACAATGCAACAAGCAGCAGCAGCAGCATGCCTTCATTAGTACACAGAAGTACAGTATATAGTTGTGTACACATTGCAAGATGCACTCAACTGCTCTGTGATTTCTGTTAGCACTGCATCTTCTACATGACTAACAATGCTTGGATATTTGATGACTATTAAGGGTAACATATTGAAGTACTGTCTACACAGTATGTTTTCTTCATTAGCTGTAAAGGTGAAGCACTTTACAGCAACATCAGTGGTTGGAGCAACACATGGGCCACCCATGTCAAAGGACTAAATCCCTGATTTTACACATTTTGCATGTGAAAATAAACTTGCAAAGACTTGACAGGTGCTTGAAACAGTGCAGTCAGTTTAATGTTTTTGGCAAAAGTCAGATCAGGATTGTGTAATAGTAGGGTCTGTCTCACGAAGCAGGATTACTAAATTATCAGGCGTTCAGACTGAAAACAGCCCTGCACTGCATTGGTGAGGGAGTGTTTGTTTCAGGTACCAGTGAGACAATGAAATACGAGCCAGTAGGGCTGGTTTAAGTAGTAGACCCATGAGTCTGAATGCCTCTCAGACACAAGAACACTGTTTAGGAGTTTATAGTACCATGACATGGGATTTAACAAGTTATCAGAGCAGCAATTTTTCTTTTGTCATGCCGATCACAAGTAAACAGTACTGTGTTCATGTCACAAAATTATCCGACTGGAATGTGTGCTTCTATGTATTTGAGTGGCCATCGCATCATCATACCAATTGATGTCGGGTGGCACTGCAACTTTTCTGCCTGATAACCCTGCACTTTTCTTTTTTGGTGCATAAAAATGCAGGAATCTCTTGACATATGGGAAAAGAGAGTCAGCTGCCAACCAACAGCCGTTTTTAATGCATTAAGCTGCCAAATTCAAATTAGCCTTTTCAGTGTCCATACTGACTTTGTCTTCGGGGTTAGGTTTATTGACAGCATAGCGTGTGATGGCAATGCTCCTTGGCAGCTGACTTTCAAATCTTGGAAACAGAAGTTTCCCCACAAGCACTTTGCAAGTTGCATACATAAAACAGTCCCTGCTTGCACATTTCAAGCCTCTGCAAGTTATCCTTTGCTCATAATACAATAATAGTTCTTTCAGTCAATGTTTCACCCAATTACATACACTCTACAGTAGAGCATTTAGAGTAATAACAGCAGAGAGTTGGGTTGTGGGTTAAAAAGGTTATCTTAAATAACCTACAACAGAAAAACTGTGCTGCTGCTGTGATGTTTGTCCACAGACTGCAGCGCAGACTATCTGGAATATGAAGAAGAGAGCAGACAGGCACTCGCGGTCTCAATGGTTCCTTTACCTACTTCACCACCTGTATAGAGGGAGGAGCTCGTCGGGTGAACGACAGCGTCGCTCTCCACGATGGAAATGTCGGCTTGGACAACTTGTAACTACAGACGACAACAACGACAAACAGGCAAACAACATGGTGGTAAAAACACAGTGAGTGATCAGGAGCAACATGATGGGACAAAAAAAAGGATGAAAGAGAAGAACAGGAAGAAAAGAGACAGAGAGGTGAGCGCGCTGCTTATTGGCTGAGGGCATCACAAGAAACAAGGAAGCAACGGAGGACATGGTGGGTCACATTATGTCATCGGGAAGCAGGAGCGAACAGTTAGTCAGATATACTTAAAGAAACATTAATACAGTAAATTACTCTCAAGTTGTGTAGCTCACACTCAATACACAAGATTGCATGCTAGGGTGTATTATAAAATATTAAAATGTTTTGTTTTGCGAACACTTTTTGAATCAGTTTTCTGACTAACTGTGTCGTCCTGATTCCTTGGCTCATTAAAATGAGCAGAGAATTTTATGAGCACACTCCAGGCCACCTGCCTTACAGTCAGGCTGCAGTGAGTAAGCAACTAACAGAGGTCAGTTTTTATTCAGTGATCTAGTTCAGTCCAATAATTGACCTGAAATTACAGATCTTGTTAAGCATCATAAAAGGTCTGGCAGCCATCTGAAAGGAGGACAACCTGGAATGAACCTCAACACATCTACACGATGGGAAGAGCACGAAGTTGGATCACTGCTCTGAGGAGCTTTGCCAAAATCCTTGAATGTCTCCACAGAAATTCACATATTGCTACTGCGAATTGCATTTTATATTCTATTTCTGATTTTCTATTGATCTGCGAGAGAAAAATAAGTCGTTCTGCTTTTCATTTCAAGTTATAGCGCAAGGTCAGTTTTTTGAAGCAAAGAGGATCGAAGTTAAGATCTTCACGAAGTTTTCCAACTGTGAGCAACATCATCAAAAAAATCCTTATGTTTTCTGAGAGCTGTAGGAGGAGAGTGGGCATTCCTGGCACAACTTCACCCACTTCCAAGGTGCACAAGTCTGAAGAGGTCAAAATCTCCAGCAACACTGGTAGTATAAAAGTACAATTTTGTCAGACCACCCCGATTCGGCCTTCATTTCCTGAGAGCTGACCGACCAGCATCAACAAGCACTTCTGCTGAGGAAAGTCGGCTACAACTGAAGCTTACCAGGTCGATGTAAACACCAAACATATTGCACACTTCCTTCTTTTGCAGCCACTGTTTTTGTTTTTCTTCATTTCCCAAGTAATTCCCAAATTTTTCTGAGCTCAGAAATGAGTCAATAAAACAAAAAATGCTGTATTTGTGCTGCGGACAGTATTATTAAAATCTGACTTTCATCTGGATTTTTATATTATTGATTTGTTTTCATCAGATCTTCAACTGTTTTTCAATAATCAATAAAAACAGTGATCAATTAGTAATTTTTTAATCACGAGTTATAGTTAAGCCATACATATTTAATCAATGTCTTACACGTCTGTCCTAAATTATCGTAAAATCAGTTGCCCACAGTGAAATGAAAAGACCTGGGCTAAGAAGGTCCTTCTGTCTGAAACCTGATTTATAGAGTTCAAAGTTCACTGACAATTTTATTTTATTTTATTTAAGAGATGGAGACTGTGTCGTGTTGTTGAACATTCAAGGATTTTTAACCCCAAAACAAACTGGGACTAGAGAGGACAGGGCTGAGGGAGGCTCACCTAGATCATCTTTAAGTTCAAGTTCAGCATTTGTGGGGTTGATGACCCCCTCCACGTCAAAGCCAGCCAAGTTACTGACCTCGCTGTGGATAAGGTTCAGCTGCGGAACGGGAGCGAGGTAGAAGCATGCAGAGGGAGAGCAAAAAGGAAGAGGGGAGGAAGCAAAGCCATTAAAACCAGATTCACACCGCTGCTTTAAGGGATATCTTGACTTTTTGATGATTTATAGAACATGATATTAAACGTTTCTGCACTATAGCTGAAAGCAGACAATGAGTAAATCCTCTGACTATTTGTGCGCAGTGTACAATTTCATTTGTCTGAATGTGGACCGACAGCCTAGATGCTCTGTGTGCAGTCATATGTACAGAAGTACACAAGAAACAGAACATAATGTAATCATCTCACAAACACTGCTACAAAAGGTTACACTGCTAACTGCTTATATCAAGTTGAAAGCCAATAGTCAGCATTAAATCAGACCTCTGGATAACCACTTTCAAATGTTTTCAGCTTTCAAAGCAAAATGTAACAACAGCAGGTCTGCAGGTGCACTAATGAATAATTAAAAATGCCAATGGAAACAGCTCGTTAACAATCATTCATGTTATTACTTTACACCAGTGCTTTTCCTACTGTCACATGTCAAAATGTCTTCTGTGAAAAAAGCTAACCTAATGTTACCCATCTACCTTTGTAGCTGTGTTTGTAGTTATCATTAAGATTGTGGGAGATGTCATTTTGTCTACATCTTAAATGTCCCTTTAGTCCTTGTTCCTGTAAAATGTCAGTTAGTATAGTTACTTTGTACTGAAGATTTGTTGGAAAGGCAGCACAACCAAGAATTCCAGTATATTAATATTTATTGTACAATGTGAACTTTTTGTGTGTTAAAAGGTCAGCTGTACATAATTTCAGTTTCAAAGCTAGCAATTTTACCATGAAGGAATATTCTACATCAAAAGGCCAAGGTATCCTTCTAAATGTAAAGAAATGCCAATGCATATGCCACATCCTGTTAGCAACTCATTACTTATCTGTTATCTAAACACATTTCACCTCAAAAGGATTTAAACTTAGGACGTCATAATAAAAAAAGCCCCCAAAGTAGTCCCAAAACCAGAGCAGTGAGAGTGAAAGCAGTGACAACAGAGCAGCAGTTTAGAGTGTGTGATTGAGACTGAACATTTGGGCAGGAAAAGTGCAGTTACAATAATTAAGTCTATAAAACAGAAACAGACTAGCTTTCCTATTCATGGGTTCATTATCCTAATCAGTGGGAGATTAACTGCATTCATCTGATGAATTATCATCCACTGATTTCAACAGCTGCTCTAATCTGTGGTCAGCTACACAATCCAGCACCGACCCATTTTGCTGATGAAGAGAGTCTGACGACAGCAGACAAGTACTGCTGCTACTGAGTGTTTACGCTGAATTTCAAATTTATACATACATATTGGAATGTGCATTAACATTGCCATAACCATGTGTTTAAACTTTAGTATTTCAGCATTTAGAAACAGGCTAAAAAAGATAGAACATTTTTTCTGACAGATTCTTAAGAGAGCAATTCATTCATGGTGAAATCAAGCAAAACAGAGGAAATCTGTTAATTGCTACATATTACTAAAGGAAACAGAAGCAAAGAGTTTGTCTTTATGCTTTAAAAATAAAATCTGTCACCAAATACAGGCACAATCACAATGTGTGTGTGCTATTACATCAGGTCAGGTTAATTAGTCAGTGTTAAATAATATATTAGTATTAGCATATGCATGGCAGAACAAAGCATGCAGTGCCATTAGCAGCAATCAAAGTCACAACTGAGCTGAAACATTGAGCTCTGGAAGTAAATTCCCCACATTTGTTCTTCCACAGATAGGGCATTTAATTTTTTGCGTTAGATTTTAACAGTGCAACAGAGGTTTTATGACTCAGTAGACTGTAAAACAACTACAAATCACATTCCTGTAGACACCGCCAGTCAATCTTATCTGTTGATGCGGAATTGTGTTTAATCTTGCATTGTACTGCCCTACCCACAAGCTTTAGTGAAAGGCAAAAAACCAAACACAGAAGACACTGTTGACTATTGACATTGAGCCTGTGCTATAAACACAGCACACATAATATTGTTTTTTTAGCACAAAACGTGTGCGCAGGAGCCAAAATTATTATAAATCAGCAATTAGTATAATTTATTATCACGGTTTAAAGATAGGGAACAGGGGATCAGTGACACTTCTTGCATCATTCTTGAGTCATTCATTCTCTTACGCACAATGTCGTTCCCCTGCCTTTAATGTTTTTCAAACTCAAATCTATTTTTATAAGCTTCTGATCTTGTGATCTTTAAACTTAAAAAGAAGAAGAAAAAAAAAAAAACTTTGACAGGGCTTAGATAAGACTTTCAGGCAAATTTACTTCCATGTTTCAGTTCAACAACAAACAAAAAAAAGGTTAAAAAGACGTTTTTATGCTCAGCAGGACCAAAGCAAGGGGAGCTAACAGATCTTGCAGATCTGAGAGACAGTAGACAAACAGTTAACACAGCATTCATGGTTGCTACTATAACGTTAATACTTAGTGCACTACTCTGTTGTGTAGCACTATATGAAGTCCTTATATGAAGTCTGGTGAATTATAACAGACCTGGTCAGTTATATCAGGGAAGTAAAAATAAAAGACTGAGCACAAACAGATGAATATTTTAAAAGGAGGCAGGTCTAGGAGTTTATTGCCTTTAGTCTGTAGGAGTGCTTTTAATAAAAGATCCTGTGGGTGAGCACCACAACATATGTTTCGTTTTATAGTTGTCCTGAGCACTGATCTCATTAATCTGGTTGCTAATCAAGAATGAGATGTTTTGTTTGTTTTTTAGAAAGAAAGGATCCTCCATGACTGAAACACATAAAAATGGTTTCTTATTGTGTATACACAGTATGTATCTATGTATATCTTCATGTATTTGTAACTTTTTTTTTATTAGCCTTAATTTAGCCTGGCATGAGGCCAATTTATACTTCTGTGTTGAGTCTATGCAGGCTGTGTGCTGTGTTGGTGAGTCCGTCGCTCTGCAATTACACTGCTAAAACGCTGGCCGTGGGGTTTCTATGTTGCACTGTGTTCAGTTTCTTCTTCTTCGTTGGTAGGGCTACTAAAAACAATGGCGTTTGAAAGCGAGCGGATCATGTTAGCGCTGGCGCTGATCGATGTTGAACAGCAGTTACTTTTAGTGGAATTACTAAAACGCAGAAACGGGAGAAGGCGTCGGACGAGATGGTATGTACAACACTTGAACTTGGTTGAGGCAGAAGAAGGACAAGCCGGAAATGCGTTGGATGAAATGCGATGCTACCAAGCCGAACAATCACAGTTCTTGCCGTCTGCATCGCTGCGACATGTAGATACATTTTTGGGTAGGTGCCTGTCAGTCTACGGTGTAGGGTACACGGCTGCACGTAAACTACGGCGTACCTTAGGCGTAGATTTGATGCAAAAGTATAAATTGTGCTTTAGGTATCTGTTCATCCCAAACTATCATTCAATACAGAGAGACTCAACTGTAGTTTATTATATATTTAGCTTAGGCCTGTGTGGGGTTAGTATACTTCTACAGACAGACAACTGACCTTTTGACCCAGGAAGAGGCTCTTGGTGGAGAGCACGGTGAAGCTGTCAACTGGAGATCCCTCTGTGGTGCTGTCTGCCGACGCTGCCTTGCTCACCTCACCCTGCTTCTGTTGAGGACACAGAATACATGTTGACAGAATGTGACACTTTGTTCTTCTCTTGGCCTCACGATGGGGACATAAGAGGTCAGGGTTACAGTATCACTGCTGTTGAAGAGGTTTCACTATAACATCTCATCTCAGTGCTGTGCACTTGATTTTTCTTGGTTGTGGATGTCTAAGGTAAGTGTCATTACATTTTTCTTTCTCCCCACAGCTACAAAACATGTAAACCATTTACCCTGCAACATACTGTATATGTACAGTTTATATACATTTTACTATTAAATACCCTGCATTTCAATTAAATTATTTGCTGTTCGTGCCCGAGTTTGAATTAATTGTTCTCCATTATCCAAACGACTCAAACTACAGGACTGAATACTATATGATAAAATATTCTGCTCCAGACATAACTGGTGGTAACCTGTTTTAGTATGACATGTCTATGAAACTTTGCTCGATTGAAAGGCAATGCTTGGCATTTTCCTATTTCCAACTACTGTGTAGGCAATTTAAAATAAAACAGCCCCTTCAGTGTTTCACCTCAGGACATTGGGAAAGTTTTATATAATACACAAATGTTTGTTTTGATTTTAATTTGAACATGGCACACTTACATACCAAACAGCCAACAGCGCTAAGTGGTTAAACAAGAACAATTAAATGTTTCTTGTGCTCTTTAGCAGCCAAACAAATACCTAATCACAGGTGGTCTGTGATGAAAAATTCTCCACTTTTGACTACAAAGACATTCAGCATTGATCACTATCACCACTCTTCACCAAGCAATACCTTAGCCTTCCCTCCTGCCTTTTTCCCACTCAGTTTCTTGGTCGCTGTTTTCTTGACAGGTTTGGGTTTCTTCTCGGGGGCGGGTGAGACTGGTGTCTCCAGTTTTCCCTTTGCTCCTCTCTTCTTAGCCAGCAGCTCTGGGTGGATGTTGGGCAGGACTCCCCCTGCTGCGATAGTCACCCCTTTCAGCAACTGAGGCGGGAAGACAAAGTTAAAAACTGGAGTTCACACGGTGCCACACTGCCTGGAGAGTAAATCTAAAAATGTGTTGTATGCATTGGAAAATAGCTGACAATGATTATATTATTAATATTTAAAAAATGTAAATGGGCTTCAGAATCAAGACAGTAAAAATCAGATAACTTCAACATAAATGTGACATAAAATCAAGTTTAAATGTCTGAAATAGTTTGGGTTTTTCCAGATATGTACAGCAGCTGACCTGGTTCAACTCCTCATCGTTGGCAATGGCCAGCAGGATGTGTCGTGGTGTGACACGACCCTTCTTGTTGTCTCTGGCTGCATTACCGGCCAACTCCAAGATCTCCGCTACATGGGTAAAAATATATATATTAGAGGAGTTTGTCAATAAATGTTGTAGAATAAGAATGGTCACTTTCATGTTATCCTTTTATTCTATATAATTTGTATACAGTGCAAATGAATTAGTATACACTGATCCAAATGTCACCGGTCAACTTTTTTAGGTGATTTAGGTGAGTATATGTAAAGCTTTAAAGTGCTTCCTCATCAGGATTCACAAGCTGTAATTTCTCTAAGCTGGAGCTGATGTGAGCAATTTTGTAGGAAAAGTTCCTAATTTATGGTTGCCTCTTTTGGCTGCATCACTTTCTGACAGCCTGAGTTCAGAGACAATATCAGTGAATACAAAGATTTTCTAAATATTAAGTCCACAGTGAAACATCTGTAATAAGTAGATATGTTATCCTCTGTATTCAAATATGTATTTTTAACAATTTATCTTTCTCTCCTCGCCAAAAATAAATCTCACCAGTAAGATACTCGAGGACAGCAGCCAGGTAGACGGGTGCTCCCACCCCGATACGATATTTGGGCAGGCCCCTCTTGATGTAGCGCAGCATGCGTCCCACAGGGAAGATGACCCCGGCCTTGGTGGACCGGGATGTTTTGGTCAACTTCTTCTTTCCTCCTCGGCTGGACATGGTGCTGAGAGCGCTACCAGTGTCAAGCTCTGCAAGGACACAGATTTTCACATGTGTGACTGTGGCTGAGGCTACAAACTAGAAAGATACAGACACGCCCAAGTTACCTGGGCACAGGAAGGGATGAATCAAAATAAAAGAATGAAATAATTAAACTGTCTGATAGAAGCAGTAGTCTCTAAATCCTATTTCGACTAATCAATGCTCTTACTGGGGCTGGCTAGGTCTTATTTAATGATTTAATCAATGCCGACACTGAAAACATTCTAAAACTCTACTTTCATGATGTCTTTCTTTACTTACTGAAAACAGTGACAGATTATATTCTTGTCAGCAAGACATTAATGGATGAATCTGTTTTCTAAATACTTTTACAACAAACTAAATGCTGTTCCTGAATAAGGTACCATTATATTAAACTTAAAGGTTTGATGCCTTCTGACCCCTTAAAATTGATCAAAACAAAAGCTTATACAATCCCAAATAGGTTTCACATCCCAACACTCAACACCAACTAATACAATTTATTGTTATTATGCATTCAGGGACAAGCCATTTGACACAAGTCAAATTATTAATTGCCAGCGGTTAGTTCTCTGCTTTCATCCCCTGAATAACTACAAGTCCCCTGGGATGCATCTATAAGCATTTGTCAAAGTTTAACATTTTACTTTACCAGTCTTTAGTATTTTATATATTTATATTAATTACCCAAGATCCAAATAATGCTTTTGGGTGTTTTGTTTAGCTCACTCTCAGGCCAACAAGCTGTCTAAATGTCACACTAGCTGTAGGAAAAGATGGATAATCAAAAGATCTGCTGTCTGATCACTGCTGCAAACGGTTATTCTATTAAGATGATATGCTATTAGCATCCTAACATCCTGGTTCAATTATTCCATGTAAATATGCATCAGGTCATGATTTTTTTTAGGTTAATCTCTAATAAAATCTCTAATATCCCTAGTGAATCCCCTAGATAATATCATGACGTGAAAATGATTGTGATTGTCATTTTTTATTTTACCAGATGCAGACACCAATTAGCCCTCTGTTATTGATAATCAATTAGCCCCACCAAAGGCCAGGCTGTTCCCTAAAATCTGCTGTAATGCATGGATTTCACACGACACATCATATAATATCAAACATAACGCTCAAATGTGGCAATTACAACGTTATTGACCAGCAGATACAACATATGCGGTATTTCTCCGCTCCGGTCAGGTGAAGGTAGGTGGGTTTAACCGCCACACCGGGCATTTCTTTCTGCTGGCCACTGACAAGACAACGATTTCCGCATGCCAACAGCCCGCCGGATGTCTCGTACAGGTAATTTATTTAATCCACACACCGGCAAGCTAAACTAACAGCTAAACCCGAGCTGTCAGACGACCTGAGGACATTTTCCCCGTTCAGGTCAGCGAGCTTTCGGGTGGAAATAACCCCGGCAGAGCGGCGCGGCAACAGCCCGCTCCTCCGTCCCTCCCCTCCCTGCCTGTCAGCTCCAGCAGCTCGGTCTCCGCTCTCGGCCTCCACGCCAGAAAAGCACGAAATGGCAACGTTAACAGCTCAGTTCGGTGAGCCGAGACCGGCTCGCCCGACAGCAAGCGACCCGAGATGGCGGTGCGCAAACCCGGTGGATTACTTACAAAACAGGGCACGGCGAAAAATGTCTCCGGTTCTCTTGGAACAAGCCTGGGCAACGTCCTCCTGGACTCCCACAATCCACAGCGAGCTGAAATATCGGAGCGAGCCAGCGCTGCCCGCTGAGCGATGAAACTGCTGGAGAGCAGAGAGCAAAAAGGCTGAGGCTGAATGTGCTGCTGATGTGATCTTTAACCCTTTATACCTTTTAGTGCTAAAAAAAAAACACGTGGTTTGACCTGACGTGCTGCCTGTTTCCCGAGCAGATCGATGCTAACTCTCACATTTAAGCTTTCCTGCAGCCATATTTATAAATAGCGTATTTAATGTGGGCTACATCAAACTCTTTGGCCACACCAGGGGTGTCACTCATTCTGGGCACCTTGTATAATTTCCCCCTGCCCGCCACCTCCAAACAAATTTGATTAACTTTCCACCAAGGTGCATTTTACAACATCAGAATCAGCTTTATTGGCCAGTTATGTGTACAGTTATGTGACTCTGGTTTTAAATTGCTCTCAATGGAGCCTATTTAAGTGCAATTTATACTTCTGCATCAAATCGACTGTGTAGCCTCTGCATACCCTACGCCGTACCCTACGCCGCACCCTACGCTGTAGACATGCACCTCCTCAAAAATGTAACCACTCATCGAGGCAACGCGGACTGTAACAACTGTGATTGGTCGGCTGGGTAGCCTCGATGCCTCCGAGCCAACAGGAAGTGTACCGTGCTTTGAAGTAAATTTTACTAGTGGCCAAACCAGCGGCTGTAACACGGTGGATCAATATATTTGTCCGTCACAACCCGAGTGAATGTGATCCATTCAGTTAATAACAATTTAAAAGTCTGTAACAGTTTACAGTATGTATGTATACAATTTTCCCCCATTCAAGTTAGCGGAGGGCTAAAGCGGAAGTTCGACTGCTCAGCCGGCAAAAGTCAACACAGGGGACTCTGTAGCGCTAGTTGGCGGTGTAATTGCAGAACGACGGAGACACCAACACACAAGTGCATGGCTACGTGCATAGCCTACGGTGTTCAACGCCACTCCTCTTCTGGCATGCTGGCTGTGACTTTTCACACAGACATCTTCGGGTGTAGGTAGCCTATGAGATGTGCTCGGGTAGTCAGATCTGCTCGGGGTCCTGTGTCTGCATACCTTTCACACAGCATAGCGAGCCGGCATATTGGCGTAATAATCCTGGAAATTAAGGCAGTGTGAAAGCGCCTAAAGATAGGTTAAAAAACTATTATGCACACTATAAACTATTATGTACACATAAGTAGTATTACATGGTATGTGTGAGTGTTGCTAGCTAAAGCTAACGTACAGTTATTACCGTGGCTGTTTGAAAATTAGCTTCACTTTCTGCCTGAACACAGCTCAAGAGTCTACATCCATGTGGCACAACGGTTCTTTGAGCTAAATGCTAATATCAGCATGTAACATGCTCACAGTGACAATGCTATAATGTTTATCACGTTCACCATCATAGGTGAGCATATTAGCTTGCTATCATTTGTATTAGCACTAAATGTCCTTAGTTTTACAGGTATTTAGGAATAAATCAAAATTTTGGACCCATTTAAATTTTCACCTGATGATGGTGCTAGAGGAAAAGTCCAAAGATTACACTTCATCCTGAGTAAATGTTTGTACCAAATTTGATGAAAATCCATCCAATCAAGACATTTCACTAAAAGCCAAACCTGCAATCTGAAGGTGGCTCTATAGAGGAAAAGTCATTAGGATTTATCATCTGAGCACCATGGATATCTGTACAAGATTTCATGGAAAAACATTTAAGGCGCTATGAGTAATTTCATTCTGGACCAAAATGGTGTACATTGCCATCAAGCCATGCGTAAATGTGCTATGTTACACTCCACCATATAGGTAAGTTTATAAATATTGTGAATTTTAGCTCTAATATAACAAAAAAAAAACTATAGAAACAGGAGGAAAATGAGATAATGTGAATTTTCAGAAAGTAGGTGCAGCCCCTATCATGAAACAGGTAACCTTTGAATACTGTCCAACCTTTTTTTGTTGACCAACACACACAATACACATGTGCACAGGCAGGGAGTGAAATTAGCACCTGCCACTCCCAAATACAGGGTAAATGTTTGATGTGGCAGGTTAAAGTTTCATGTCAGATGCCTCCAAGGCAGATCGCATATATATATATATATATAATGTGTGTGTGTATATGTGTATATATATAATGTGTGTATATATATATATATATATATATGTGTGTGTATGTATATATATATATATATATTTTTTTTTTTATTTTAATTTCTTTTTAAGCAATTCTTTAAAAAAGTCAGGCATTAAGGCTACATGATATGTCTTAAATTACATATTACATATTTCTACTATCAGGTGCCACTGACTCAATGTTTACAATTCTTAAGTGGTCTATGTAGATTTAAGGTGTGGCAGACAAAAAACTGAGTGGCTGGTAGAAATGTTAAGTAACCTGCCACAGTTAGTGCAGTGGGCAGCGCATTGTTTGCAGGATAGTTTGATCATTGTGGAGACAGTCTGAGCTTATGTCTGTTGTTGATTTAATAATTATACAGAGAGAAAAGGTGAAGGTGGTGCACTTTATTTGGCATGAAGTAGATTATAGTGCATTGTGATTGAATTGTATCTCACCTGGGTAAACCTTTTCAGTTTGATATTTAAGACCTGTATATGACCTTGTTGTTTGCACTTTGCAGTCTTTGGTCTGTCTATGATAAAGTGTCTGCAAAATCTTCTACCACTGTTTTCTAGTTGGTGTCCTGTGGCAACCAGTATTAAGATGTATTACTGCCACCTACTGGACAGGAGTGTGGATCACAGTTAGTTACCTTTTAATCTAAATCAATAAATAAATTATCTTTCTTTATCTATTTATCAACCCAGTTTCTGCCAAGTAATCAAATACATTAACTCCCTGACCCAAGATTAAATAAATTCACAAACTCATTTCTTCAAATCAACACTTTCTGAGTTGCCCCTTTATCTCTTTCTGCAGAGTATTTTTGGCACTGACACACTACGTGCTCAACTGACTCCTCTGTTTGCCAAGAGTCACAAGATGGATGCTTGGAAAAGCACAGGTGTTACTAACAATATTAACGATGTCTCTGTTCTATTCAAGTGGCCCAGTAAGCCATGAGAGTGAGCCAGCATGCACAATACTGAAACTGAAGCAGCTAAATGGAATAAAGCCATCATTATTCTATTATTTTCCTGGGGTTTTCCCACTGTGACATGTCAAAATGTATTCAGTGGAAAAGGAGTTTTTACTACTAAAATATATACCGTGCCATTGAAAGTATAAAAAACACATAAAAGAGAGCTGTACTCTTTTGCATTTTCTGATGACAGTTTATTGATAATTATACAAATATATAACATTATCAACCTTATTCTCATCCAAGTAAATTAATAAAAAATAGAAACTGCAATGTAGTTCCTGATGTCAGGTTTAACTCTAAGCAAGGTCAAATAACTCACCTCCTCCTTGTACATAATCTTTTATTTTTACTTAATTTCATGATCATATAGAAATGAAGATGACGTACATCTCGCTTACTATAACTGAACACAAATGTGAGTGCATTTTAGTCCTGAAACTCCACACTCAAGCATCCAAATTACAAAATGGGTCATGACATATATCTAAATCCAAACACAGTCATCAGTGTGTCAGTGAAGGAAACCACATGTGACAGGTGTGTGCCAAAAGCCCTTCAGCACACTGATGCAGTGGCAGCAGTTTCACACCAGAGGTCAGACCTGAGCTGTGCAGTTAAACCATATAGACTGCATAAAAACACCTCTTTAGGCAGGAGGTAAAATCTTCATTTGCAGCCTGTGGTACAGACTACACAGTGTGTGTGTGTGTGTGTGTGTGTGTGTGTGTGTGTGTAGAAACATGCAGATGACACTAATGAAACTGTGATCAATTCATCTCATGAAATGCAGAATAAATCAATCACATCTGTATATAAAATGTATATTGTGTACATATAACTGACTTATTTTTCTATTGCTATTATGGCTTGTATTTTTTCTACAATATTTTTATTTGTATATGTATTTTTTATTTGTTGTGTTGTGTTGTATCTGGAGCTGCTGTAACAAGTAAATTTCCCCAGTGTGCAATCAATAAATATTCTGGAGCTAAAGTTTACGTGGAAAAGATACATTCAAGTATCACATGATACATACCTATGCAAATTAGATGTTCTTCTAGTCTTAAGTTTTATAGAGAAAATTAAATTTATCCTAATTATACACCTGCCATTTCATCAGCTTTACTTGTACATATAATTGGTATTTTTTGGGGGAAAAAATATTGTCATAAAAGTAAAGTCAAATGCTTTGTTTTTAACATACACAGAGTACATAGACTAGTTTGCTGTCATTGCCTCATACAGAAAATGAAAAAACAAAACATAACTATATATATATATATATATATATATATATATAGAGAGAGAGAGAGAGAGAGAGAGAGAGAGAGAGAGAACAAACTAAGAACAAAAATAAGAATCATTAATATAAAAGAAGCATACGATTACAGAACTACAGAACTGCACAGTAAAGTAAATGTAAAACCACAGTCATGCAGAATGAGCCCTCATCACCTGACATATTTGATGTGTGTGCTGTAAATTTCATAACTTCTGCTCACATGAAGTGAGTTATCAGAGTTGACATTTCTGGCACCCCCCTCCTACTATTAAAGAGTTAGGCCTAAATAAAGCAGTGTCTTTTCAGGAATAATCTTTCACAGCAGACTATAGTGGCTACAGACAAGAGGTACAACATTAATGTAATCTTTAGCTTGTATGGCAAAGGGTAAAATCTGCACACTTACACCATGACACAAAAGTTTAATAATGAGCATGTTTTAATCTTATATGGATCTTCGTCAGGTCAGAATGTCTGAAAAATGAAAACCACACCCAAATTTATACAAGATGCACACCAACAGGCTGACAAGCTCTATGATTGCAGGTGTGGTAAACCATCCAAATTGCCCAAGGTGATGACCATCCCAAAAAAAAATTAGCAATTCAATAGGCTACTTAGAAGAAAAATACATAGAGAAAAGCAGTAATTCAAAAGCCATACTTTAAAATTTCAAAAATATATCTTATATTAACGTTAGTTTTACCTTCTCACATATCATAATCTACATCACCTACAGTCAAAAATGTCTTGTATTAGGGAAAGGGAAAAGAGAAGAAACCTTAAACTCATTTACAGAAATTAAGTCTTGACCCCTGTTCATAAAAAATGTGTGTCTGGGTGAGTGAAAAGCTTGTATATTAATATAAAAGCTTTTTCATGTGGAGTAAGAGGGTATTTAAATCACCTCCTTGGAGATGTGGGTTTCCTAAGAGAGCCGTTAGGTGCTTTGCCTCTTTGAAATGCACTGGGTTGTGCTGGATCTGTGTCTGGATGCAGCTGGTATGACATAACAGAAACAGTCTTTGGCAATATAGAAGAACTTCGTGCAGCATGTGTCATAAAGGACGAGGTTATCCAGGTGTTAAGTGATTAAATGATAGCTGAAGGAGGTGTGTGTGTGTGTGTGTGTGTGTGCACGCTGTGTATACAAATAGCTGCAATGGATCTGCGTGTGGATCTTTGTTCTACTGTATTCTGTACTCATTTATTACACAAATGTACCTTTCCAATCAACATGTCATGTAGTGACCATCCATCCTGAATTTCAACCTGCAGCTGGATTCATGCGGTCTACTAGAGTAGGCGAAAATCTGGTGAAGAAAACAATGATTAACACACAAAAAAAACCACATCCTCGCGTTAGAAGCGCTGCTACTTCCGGATGTGGCTTGATCAGCTGACCAAGAATCAGCCAATAAGAAGTCGTTCACGCTGTAAACACACTGTTCATTTGAGTGTATAAAAACCCGCAGGACCGTTCAAAGGGGAGAAACCGTGGAGAGACATGACGGCGGAGGCAAGAGTGAGCGGTAAGTCCGTGGTTTATTTTAACGTAAACACGTCGATGGAGTCGGGTTTTATCATGTTTAACGCTTGTTTACAGCTGGCTGCACGAAAAAGCAAAAACTAAGCTGTGTTGCCTAAATGTGGGCAGTTGATGTGTTCAGTGAAGGTAGCATAGTTCATAATCTGCAAAAACAAAAACTGCTCACCGCTTTGTTTTCTGTCACTACACAATCGTTCTCTATCATATTCCTGTAATATTCCTGTATATGTGGCATTAACTCGGCTGCATACAATTATTGCAGTTATTATTATGTTTGTTTATGTTTTCAATAAATGTTGTTAAATCAAAAATACTTTAGTTTATTAAATTACATAAGTGACTATGTCAGGTTATCAAAACCAAATCTCTTAGCTTAGTTTTTTAGTCTGATCAGCCGCCAAGAATAAATGTATTGTTCTTATGAAAGCAGGGTATATGAAAACAATCACTATATTCTTTGCGTGTCAGAAAATGTAGCATAGTGATCATGCGTGCGTAGTGTCATTACAACCACTATAATTTATGTTAATCAGTTAATTAACTAACTAATGATGTTTAAGCAGCAACTTTAAAGATGTTTCACTTAAAGATCCAATCCAGGTGTGTTTTAAGACATAAAAATAACCTTGTGTATGCTTTTTTTTTTTTTTGGTCACAAAAAACTTACATTTACTAGTTTAAAAATCCCTAAAATGTAACTACTTGACACAAGATTTCTCATAGTTCACTGAAAGGTCCATTCCCAGTGTATGTGAACTTGTTCTAAGTTGCATGATGAAACCACTGTTGGCTTCAAAATCATCTTCTACGTACATGTCTTAAACTGAGATTTAAGACATGAGAAACCTTTTCCCTTCAGTAGATGAATGTGAAAACAACCTTTAGTGTCTAATTCTGCACATACACCAATCTTATTATGAAGGTCAAACATCTAAGTGACAAAAACAAAATACATTTTTGACTGTAATATAATTTGGGTGTTACACTTGTAGCCTTTTTTACAAAATCTCAACAGGGTTTTTGTTCTTTTCTTTCCCCAAGCTTTCTATTTCTTGCTGAGCTACAAAGAGAGAGTGGATGTGGAGCAGGTTGTTATTCCCAAGAATTTGACTGAAAAATTGCTCACTGTAAGAAGGATTCAGTATAACAGGATTATGTATAATCCTCTGTCTGTAGATTTTGCACGAGGCTACACAGCACTCAGATGATTATTGTTCCTTGGAAAAATGCAGCCAGAGATGTTTATACTGTTTAATTAAGTCACATTTTTGAGGTAAAATAGCCTTAATCAGTGGAGATACAGTGGAGATTATTAATGAAAAAATGGCCTATTGAAGACATTTGAAGTGTGTTAGAACTTGAGTTTGAGTTTTGTCACACTCTAAGTACACACAAGTATTTTCTTTCTTCTGGAAAAATAGAAACTTGATCTTTATCACATAAGGAAAATAAACACTATTGTTTTGCAAGCCAGCTAAGCCACCTTCCTTATACAGCAAAATATTTAATCTTTAATCTTCAGTCATTTTGGGACAGTGCAGATATCCTTTGCTTCCAAAATCTTCCATCTTAGTATAATTTTAGACTATTTTTAATTTTGTTTTAATGCTTGGCTGAAATTCAGCTTTATTTTTAAACAGTAACAATAGATGATGTGGATGTAATTCTGACTGGAACATGTAAATGAACTGTTGTGAACTGTGCATTTATTATTGTTGTTTATTATATGTTTACAGACACAAGGGGAGTTGCCACAGCAGGGAGCAGCAGCAGACAGGTAATAACATAACAACTTCACAACTGAACACTGCTGTTACCATCATTGAATAGCACAGAAAGATGATCAAAAGCAGGCAGGTCCACAGCAACACAATACGATGAGTCACAGCCAACACAGGCACTACCTTTTTAAATGGATTTTGTCGTTTTAGTTCCTCGCCTGTCTGTAACTCGTCCTTTCTCTTTGGGTGAAGGGTTTGTTTGTTTAACTTTGAAAAGGTTCTAAATAGTAAGAACAAAGTTGGTGTTTATCTGTTTTGTCAACTGACGATATCATTGAAGATCCTCCCTGACCAGCAATAGTTAAAATATTTATTATTATTACATTTTTCTTCAAGTGTGTAACTCTGTCAGATATGTCCTGTTTTCCTTGTTGTTGGACAGGCTTGACCTGACAAGTTGCATTACGCAAATTTATGGAGCTCTGCAGGTGAACAGAGAAAGGATGGGGGTAAAAAAGGGATTATGTAATATCATAAGAAATGTTAAGGAGTGTTCTGTAATTGTTTTTATGACATAGGAGAGAGTGCAGTATAATGGAAAATGTTTACACTGTGTTTGTGTTTCCTTTTGGGAGATTAGATTGTAGGTAATAAATGTAGTAAATAGGGATAGATGTACAAGGATGCATCAGTGTATCTGTGAGATGTGATTGTATAATTGTGTGCATGTTGCTTGTGGCTCTAAAAAAAAAAATTAAAAATAAAGGAAGAAGGAAAAAGAACAGAGAGCTGAGGACTGAGACCAGCACGACATTTGCGTAACATTTTTCCCACTGTTGCCATGGCTGAGCCAAGGGGCAGAAGGGGTAAAATCTGGCATTTTAGAAGGTCTGGTGAATCTGACATCAATCCCTGGACTTAATTCCCGCTGAGTGAACTCATCCAGTTCTCTCTCAGTGTGGCTCTCTCAGTGTGGCTCTCTCAGATTTTGCTTTTATTAAATGCACTGGGCTTTAGTGTTCCAGATAAAAGAAATACTTGCATCTCGATCATCTGCAGCTGTAGAAGAAGCTTAAATTAATCTATTATCAACATTGCAAGCGACACAAAACCTTTTAAATCTGTTCAGTTCACACTGAATAAATGCATTCACTTTCTTTTCGACACATTTCATGTCAAAAAGGAGTACATTGAAAACATTAATCTGAGATTCATTTACTGTCTTGTCAGCATTCAAACCTTAAATGTCAGATTGAACCTTTTAATTGCTTTGATGCTTTGAATTGCTTTTGATATAGATATATACAGATAAATAGCACTTCTTGCACATAAGTATATTTGCATTTTTATTATCGCTCTACTGTTTAAACCTCCTCATTTCTGTACATGGCTCCCTACATCTATATTTATCTTTAAACAAGTGTATTATTTAGGTTATAATGGACGTAAACACGTGATGTGACTCTGTTTTGATGATGAAGATGATGATGATTTTGATTGAGACAGAGAAACAGGAAAGCCTAATGTCTTATTTTCACTGTGTTCCTCCAACAATGATATGCTTTAGATACACACGAGGGATTCAGTGACACGTTACTGTTTGTCTCGTGCAGCCTGATTTATTTTAGCTCTTCAATCTCACTTTCTCCATCATGGTGTATAATCTCTATGCTGTCCAATGTGGCGAAAGGCCTCACCTATGAAAAAACACAAGTGTTCTTTGTTTGTGTAGCTCAACGTGCCACCTACAGCTGACCAAAGAAGCCACAGTGCTGTCATCCTCTTGGAATGACACTGACTGGTTTCAGTAACTGCTGTTTTAGAGACATTTACTCTACTTTTCTGGACGTTTCTGTGGGAAATTCTGGTGTAACTCAACATCATGAGATTGCACAGCATCATCAGAGTAACAGAGAGGTTCATGCACAGTTGTTGCTTTTTTTTCCACCCAGGAGGGCCCTGGAGGACTGTGGGACTCCGTGAAGAAAGCTGCAGTTGTCATTGGATCTGGAATCTTATTCTTGGCTGCATTCGGCAACTCGCTGACATGGTAGGATTTTTCTTACAAATTATCAGTGAACCTGAGGAGTTGGCAGTGTCGTAGGTCATTACATGCAGTGCAGTAAAAAATGACAAGCACGGCAAGGCAAGGAAGCAAACATTAATCAGGACATTGCAGAGAAGGACTAAACTGAACGGGTCAGGTATTGTCTTGTTTTACAGCCACAGATATCAGTTCTGCTAGTCAGTATGTGAAAATAAATGAATTATATTCTTACATTTGATTGAAATTGTTATGCTTTGTCTTGTGCAGTTAGCTACAGAATGTTTTATTGTTGGTGCGCAAGGGGGAAATTGTTCTGTCTCTGTTAGGATCTGTACAGGTGAACTGCATTTTGGATCAGGTCTAATTATCCTTGGGAATATTCGGATGGTGCGCTCCGGGTCCTGTTAGGATCAGGTCTTCTTTTTCAAAATTATATTGAATTTATTCATATTTTCTAATGTAGTTTTAAATTAGATTACACACATGATTTCACCTCCTAAGACACAAACCGAGGGAAAGACTTTATTTAGTACCAGCCACACAGGAAAATACCATGTTTGTGTAGCATTGAGAACAGTTGTTCAGTTCTGCATATCAAGTCATGACCTCTGGTGTCAACTTACTCACGTTTATGATGCAGCCATCATGTTGTTGTTATGCCATGAACTTATTTATCCACGTCTGGTTTGGGTAGGTTATTTTCCACAGGTCTGTTTTGGGTCGAGTCAGACATTTTGGTACTACACTTTGCGTACTCAGTTCCTTTAAAGTAACACTACCACAGTGTAAAAATACTTTGTAAAGTAAAAGTCCTGCATTGGAAAAATAATTACCAGTTAAAAGTACTTAAAGTATCATAAGTAAAAGTACTTATAATGCAAAAAACGGCCCCTTTCAAAGTGTTAAATTATATATACTATATTTTTTTACTTATACAGACAAGACAATAATTTGTATACACAAGTTATCAACAAGATATGTGTGCAACCAGGTTTCTGTACATCATGACCTCACATAAATCCCAGCAGAGCTTCACACAACTCCAACCTGAGTTTGTCTTATTAGCAACATAAGTGAAAACGCAAATGAGGGTCTGTGGGGCCTTTAATCTATAACAATGCATCATGTTTAATAAGTTAGTCATATGTTTTGAAAGCGAAGTAACTATAGCAGTTCAGTAAATGTAGTGCAGTAAAAAGTACAATATTTCCCCCTGAAATTTAGTGGATCAGAAGTGTAAAGTACAATAAATTGGAGATACTAAAGTGAAGGACCTCAAAGTTTTACTTAAGGACAGTACTTGAGTGATTGTACTTTCTACCACTGGTGTACCAGTGAATGTTTAAATGTGGGTGGCAAAATGTTTTGAAGAATAATAGTCAGATTTAATAAGGTAAGAAAATTGTCTTGTGAACTTGATTCTTCCTCCAGGCATCTGCAGAGATTCTGGGGAGCTTCAGGAGATTTCTGGCAGAAATGGTGGACCGAGCTGTACTTGACATTTGAGGGCCACGAAACTGCTTTGTTCTTCTTTGGTAAGGAAATAACAACTGGTTAGTTTTGTATCTTGTCCAAAAAGCTGTTTTGACCTGCTTTGTATCAATACACAGTTGGTATTGTTGTGAAACACAGGTGGCTTCATGGACCTATACAGCTCTCTAACCAAATATTTTGTAGTTTCAAAGAAGATTACACACATGATTTCACCTCCTCTGAGACACAAACAGGGCTTTGTTGTCAGAGAACTTTCTTTTGTACCAGCCACAGAGGAAATAGCGTATCTGTGTCGCTTTGAGAACAGTTGTTCTGCATATCAAGTCGTCATCTCTGCTGTCAACTTACTCTCTTATGATGCAGCCATCATGATGTTCTCATGGACTGGCCAGCTATTTTACACAGTGGAAGGTATTCCTCCGGATTGGATGGATGTCATGTTGTACCTCTCTGACTGTGCCTTTTCTCAACAGGGACAATGTTGTTCCCCACTCTGGCGTTCTGGGTGTCGAATGGTCTGCTGCTTGTGGTGGACACCACTGGTAAACCCTCCTTCATCACGCGCTACCGCATCCAGGTGGACAAGAATAACCCGGTATATGTTAAATCTGTTACAGATTTTAAGACACCACTGAGATACCAACACCACTTTGACCTCCGCGCCTACCAATATTGATACTAAGTGATCTGCTTCTACTATGATCGTCATGTTCTGTCTGCTTTTAATCTCAGTAACTGCTATCATAATCAGCCAGTGCTGAGTAATCACAATACAAATTCTCATATAGTGACTAATAAATCCATCTAGCCTCAGCCTCTTTACCGTGATTACCCTTTAGTCACTGGCTTAAACTTAGCATCAATATATGGATGAACTTATTCATAGAGTGCGTCTCCTTCGACGGCAACACATGGAGATTAGCTTTAGACGCAACAAAACCAGCTTTTAGACGTTGTTGGGACAGTCACATTATTGTCATCACAGTTACCTACTGTAACCCATCCACCATTGTGTCCCTGAGCAAGACACTTAACCCCTACTTGCTCCAGAGTTGTGCGACCTCTGACATATATAGCAATTGTAAGTCGCTTTGGATAAAAGCATCAGCTAAATGAATAAATGTAAGTCAAAATGTGGCTAAATGTTCCTAAATGAATACATAAAACGTGTTATATTTTATGTGTTTATTAAATTCTTCATATCTGGTTCCTAGACACCAGAGAGCTACTCAGTTGTGTATTTTCATTAAAAATAGTAAAGAAATTTGATCTTGATAAATCAAAAAAATATTACTAGTAATTTGTAGCTCGTATAGGTGAGTAAACACACTTGCGAGAACACACAGGCATGAGCCTCAGTGTTACTGATCTGACCAAAGTCCTCTCACTGTGTTTAATTAACAGATGTTGATGTGAACTGGAAAGATAAAGACTGACATTATTGATAGCCAGGGCTGAAAGGTTACTCTCAAAATGTAAACAGATTATTGATTACCTTTCAAAGATTATAACCAGAGTGCACAGCAAGTTCCCGTTCATTGATGGAATAAAAGTAGTTTGCTTTATATCAATAATCCATTAAGCCTGTAGTTAACAGACATCATGTTCAGGTTGAAGCCGTGTTGATTACAAGTATTGGCTTTATCACCTTTTTATGGGGTGACATACATTTTCATAACATTTCAGTTTTGTCACAGTCAGTCAAGATGGTGACAGTCATCATTATGTCACCTACGAAGCTACTCTGCTGAGTCATCATGTGTTGGCTTTCCATGGTCAGTCACTCTGAGCCGAGATACCAATGCTCTGGCCCCGTTTCAGAAAGTGGCTTTAGTGAAAACTCTGGCCTGTGATGAGGGGAAACTCTGGGTTATCTGTTTCAGAGACCGAGATCAGATAAATCCTAAGCGAGTAACTACAACAACTTGTGGCGTGAAGCTAACCTGCTCGGGAGGAGGTTTTCTTCAATAAACTCTGAGTTTCTCTCTGACTCTTCTCCTCCTGAAGCAGCTGTCTGAAACACTGTTTCATTTCCTCATTGATATAGTCGATATCAAAGCACATTTACAGAAGTTTACGTCTTTAGAAACATTGGAATTAGTTAGATATTAGTTTGTTACCTAAACATAATCTTTAACATGACCACGTTTATGACCAACGTGTCATCAATTTAAAGATGGAGACAGGGATTTCTGAACATCGTGGATTCATCCTCAGCTCAGAATAAAATCTATACGCGTCACTGTCCTTTATAACACTGTGATTCTGTGAACATTACGGTAGCTGTCAGGTTGTCAGCAGTTGCACTGAAACATTTACGTAGGGCTACATTACTGCAGTAATCACTGTCCAAATCAGTATGAAGCTGTATCTGATCACTGAACAATCATCTGTCATGTTGTGATTGGTCACACTGATGGAACATTCCTATCATAGTTTTCTTGTTGGAGATAATCTGAATATTTCTGAGTGGGAATGACCGTGGTGCAGCTGTAACGACTAAATGTAGTTTAACAGTGAGTTTTTCGCTGCAGATAGTCTTAATCTATGTTGACTAATTTATTAAATGAAAAACTAGCAAGATTTTAAACCTAAATTAGATGTCTATAAATTTACAGTCCGTATCAACCGAGACGTTTTTCAGAAGGAAATCCTAAAAATAATTATTGTCTTCAGGTTTTACTGCCGGCACTGTAACCCGTCAGGTTACAGCTGAATAAATGTATTTAGAAATTGTATTTAACATACACAAGGATTCTAGCACTTTGTAATTTATTAAGTAAATTCAAGTCTGGTAAAATATGAATATGTGGGCTACGCTGAAAAAAAATTTAATGGTTCTAACTTACATTGAATGATCCACTTTGGCATGCATTCATATTTTTAGCCACAATGGAGTAAAATAGAGGCTCTGCTCTTTATTAACCCATTGCAATGGTGAATCATAGTATGGGAGCTCTATTGATTTATGGAATTTTTTATTTTTTTTTCCATTCCCCACGCATGCCCTTAACTCACAGTGAACATACTCAGAGTTGAACTTACTCTGATCAGCTGTTCAGGAGTTTCCCATCTCAGGGTTAATCAACTTAGAGCTCAGGGTTTGGCTCAGTGTTTGTTAAACCTGTTTTCAGAAACAGTGCCCTGGTCTTGAGCCCTTTTAGTCATAAACAAAGTCAGGACAAGCAGTTGTGTAGCAACAAAACAACACAGAGTGTGTGGCTTTTTAAGTAGTCAATGTATTTTAAATTCAGTCAGTTGAATCATGTGTCAGGGCTTTTAGTCAATCTTCAGATGACTCTGAAAAAACTCAGCTGACAACACACAATGAGGGCTAAAACCACTAAGTCATTTATTTGGTTAAAAAAACAAACACCAAGTGAGTATCACTGCCTGCAGCATGTGTTTTTTTTTTTTAAGTACAAAAACAACAGCTTGAAAATATTTTTCTTTATTTGATTTATTAGACAGTAACACAAACAAAAATAAATTCATAACAAGATGCCATCACAGCGACATTATACATTTATCAGAACTGTCGAGGATAAGATTCCACAGACATTTTTCCATTTCACAGCAGGAAAAGCACAGTTTATAACAGAAGTGATGGTGGCTGAATTACATTTAGCTGCTTCAGTTTTAGGGTCCTGGTATTGTGCATACTGGCTCACTGTCACGCTGTTGTGGCTTTCTGGGACACTTGAGCAGAACAGAACCAAAGTTAATGTTGTTAGTAACACCTGTGCTTTATCAAAATGTCCGCTGTGAAAGGTCAGGTTGTTGTGTTTGTACATTGTACCGTGCAAATGTTCATTTGTCTACCATTTAGACATACTGCATATGCTCACACAAAAACTCATCAGGACATGTCCATGTGTTTTATAACCAGGGTCCAAAGTTTAATGGTAAAAAGTCAAGTTGTTGATGTTATTTGCAAACTGGAGATTTTTTTTTTTTTATCTGATCCAAGACGCTTCCATCTGCTTGTTTGCATTTTAGTGAAGAGGATGATTTAGAAACCGCTACTTTTTCCAAGCATAAGAATAGAAAGTTATGCACAAGTCGGTGCATCTCAGTAACTTAGAATATCCTGGAAAAGTTCATTTTTAGAATATGGAAAGTGAAAACTCTAGATTCATTACACATAAAGTGAAACATTTCCTTTTTTGTTTTAATCTTGATGACTGAGCGTACAGCTCATGGAAATCAAAAATCCATATCTCAAAGTATTAGAATAGAGAATTTATAATACAGAAATGTCTACCTGATAAGAATCTTTAATATCTGTCTGGTTCGGTACACACAACCACAATCGGGGGAAGACTTCTGACTTGACAGTTGTACAGAAGACACTCATTGACGCCCTCCACAAGGAGGGTAAGCCACAGTAGGTCACTGCTGAAATGGCTGGCTGTTCAGAGTGCTGTATCAAAGCACATTCATGGAAAGTTGACTGGAACATTGAAGTGTGGTAGTATAGGTGCACAAGCAACAGGGATGAATGCAGCCTTGAGACGATTGAGACAAACAAAGCCGATTCAAGAACTTGGGGGAGCTTCACAAGGAGTGGACTGAGGCTGGAGTCAGTGCATCAAGAGCCACACCACACACACGTGTTCAGGAAATGAGCTAGAAGTGTGGCGTTCCTAGTGTCAATCCACTCAGTGGTCCAAAGTCCTCTTTTCAGACGAAAGTAAATGGTTTGTAGACATCCGGTATAGCCATTAATACTTGCACAGAACCAATAAAACGCCACACTATTACATGGAAATGCATAAATGTATTAAACAAGAAGAATAAATATGCCGTGTGAAAGTAGAATGAAGATAATCGTATACAGGTGGCAGGAAACATTAAATAAATAAAGACGAGGAAAATGTTATAAGAAATCACTTAAATCCCATAAAGAATAAGTTTTGAGATGAGCCTTAAAACAAAGAGGAGGGCGGTCATATATATATATATACTTTGGACGTTTTAAAGCTTCATACTGCATGTCAACACCCCAAGTTACACTATCATTTCTTTAAAAAAAGCACTTGTACTCCAGCACTCTGAAACAGAGATGCACTTAACAAAAGTTTCTCTATGAAGGCACTTACTGTAAGACCCTGAATGAAAAGCATCTGCCAAATGAATGTAATGTTGTGTAACTATATATTTGCCACTATAAGAAAGCATTTTATCCAGGTTTTTTGTTAACACTCTGACTCCTCCCTTGTCCTCCAGGTGGATCCAGGTAAGCTTCGCCATGCTCTGAAGGTAGTCACCTTCAACCACGTTTTCATCTCTGGGCCCATGTTGGTGGCGGCCTACCACCTGATGATCTTGAGAGGGAACCCCTGTGGGCCTGAGCTTCCCACCTTCCACTGGGCCCTGACGGAGCTGGCTGTCTGTGCCATCGTGGAGGAAATATTGTTTTACTATTCACACAGGTGGGAATCATTCACCTAACTATTTACAGCTGTGACATGTCAGAATGTCTCGTGTCCCTCCTGAAAAAGGCCTTTAGTGTTTTCTAACCAGTAGACAGTAACACTTCTTCATCATCTGAGTCTCAGATGTCATTGGAACACTGAACAAATCACTGCCACCTAGTGGTAAGATAAAAACTGACATTTTGGTGGTGTTTGCATTTATCTACAGCTTCACAGAGCTGTTAGCATTGCTGTAGACTTTTAGTCTTGTTGTTAAAAATTTACCAGTAGATAACTGACTGATTTTTATTTTGATCCTCTTCCTCTTTCCTCTCAGGCTGTTCCACCACCCAGGCCTCTACAAGCATTTCCACAAACAGCACCATGAGTGGACTGCTCCCATCGGAGTCGTCTCCATCTACGCTCATCCTCTGGAGCATATGGTGAATTATCCCTCCCCCCTTTTTCATTTTGTGTTCTGTGTCTGTCTCAGTCACGTTCTTGGCCTCTCAGTCTTTCGCTGTCAATGTGACAACGCACTAAATGATTTAAAGAGAAATTATACCCCTGATTTGGACTGTGGAGGATTATGGAGAGTCTGCACTGCTCTATGTTGGATTTAAATCTCTTCTGTCCTCATTGAGGCTTTTAGCCACAGACCATCTGCAGCTGTCAAAAATAAATCAAACGTGTTTCAATTTTACATCTGGAATTGGAGCAAACCGGATCTGAAAAATGTATCTGAACTCCCTTTTGCTCATCTACAACTTGAGTCAGCTGTTGAAAGTGTGATGCTGAGTCTATTTCACCACTGGTTAGGAGGTTTAAGTCTTCCTGAGTATTCCTGGTTTTATCCTTTTTTTTTTTTTTTTTTTTTTTTAAATTGGTTAGATTTTCAGTGGCCATTTAAACCCGTTCTTTCTTCCTCTTTACCGTTAGATCTCCAACATGCTGCCAGTGATAATCGGGCCAGTGATCCTGGGCTCCCACATGACCACCACCACCCTGTGGTTATGCCTGGCTCTTGTCAGCACCACCATCTCTCACTGTGGATACCACCTCCCCTTCCTGCCCTCCCCTGAGTTCCACGACTTCCACCACCTCAGGTGAGTCCACTCCTCTGTGAGTATATTTAATGGTCTTATTATCAATGCCACTGCTAAATATATAAAAACAACAAAGTTAAAATGTACATTCTTCTCTTGACTTTCTGTTTCTGGACAAGATGTGGTTGTCTCAAAAGGACTTTGTTTACCATAAACTGTGGTGATCAGCTTCTTCTTGCTTTTTCTAGCTCCTGAATGTGTAGGGACATACCTGATGAAAAGCAGAATCTGTTTTAATTTTTTTTTTTAACTGAATATACATAAATATTGTTAACAATTCCACGAAAAGACCAAAAACAAAAATGTGTTAGTTTGTCAGTCAAAACTTCCCTTTGACTTCCCTACCTAGCATCTACTGACGATGAAAAAAACAGCCCATGAATATACTTTTATTTTAAATGGTTAAATAATTAAAAATATCTGGACACTACTTTTGTTCCAAATGTTACTCAAAGGCAAAAAATTCAATGTTGGTTTTGGTATTTTCGTGGAATTTGTTGACAGTAGGGGTGTCATGATATCTCATGATTTCAGCATGGTGGAGTGTGAAGGTGAAATGGGCATAGAAGATGGCCTCTCCTTTTAAATCGTTTGGGTACACGGTGGGAATGATAAACAGAGTGAAAGACAAGCAAGGGCGTCATTTTGTGTTGAAAAGTGGCTCAGATTAGGGGTTGGACGAAACACTTAGGCCATGAGACGTGAGGATGCACAATTTTGGGGTCACGAGAACAAGACAAGAAGATATTTTAAAGCTATTATAGTTGTTGATTAAAGTGGTGGGTCTAGGGGTCCTCCCCCAGAAGACTGTAAGCATTAAACACTTAATTTCGTGCATTCTGGATACCTTTTCTGTGTTCATTTATCCCCGCGACCCTGTACGCAGGATAAGCGGTTGACGATGGATGGATGTGTTCATTTATATAAGGAAATAAGGAATAATATAAGGAAAAACTAAATTCAGGTGGCAGGTGACAATTCAAAATATAAAAATATACCAGAATACAATGCAGTAATCAGTAGCTTGGGACAACGCAGATATTTCTTCTATATTTACATTGCATTGAAATTCTCATTCAGTTCTTGTTGTGCAAATAAACTGTTCTTCTAGCATTTTCATTTGTTTTTAACATTTCTTGTTGCAAGCAATTTTTCAGAACATTTTTTAAAAATGCTTTCAAAAAGTGATGTCAACATCAGCCATTTCAAAATGTCCCCAGTGTAAATGACACCTATGCAGACAAGACAAACAATATGCAAGCAACATTTCAAAATGCACCTGCATTATTTTGCATTTTGTGACTTTCAGTCGAATAAAAGACTAATTTTCCAGTCATATATTTTGTCTATATAGATTTCTTAAAATAGTGTTCTGGTGAACCCAATACCGTGTATCGTCTCATGAACTAAGTGAATTGCCGCACCACTAGTTGACAGTAAGACATTATAGGTCACTATTATTTCAGTGAAATATGTAAAAACGAAAAAAAGGACAACAAATACAGTGCAGATCCCATGTTGACAGTTTGTTTTTAAACCTTTTTTTTGTTTTCATTCTGAGTTAAGATTCTTGTTTGGTGTTTCTGGTTCCAGGTTCAACCAGTGTTTCGGGGTCTTTGGTGTGCTGGATCGGCTCCACGGCACCGACACCAAATTCAGGCAGACCAAGCAGTACGAACGCCACACCCTGCTCACCAGCCTCACCCCTCTGAACGAGAGCATCCCTGACACACCCAAGAAGGGCCAGTGATGACCCCTGACCTTTAACCTCAGGCCTCCAAGTTTAGAATCAGTTCCCCATCAATCTAATTTTGATTTTAATCCAGAAAACCTGTTGATCAGTTTCACTGTGAAAATCTGCCCACACTCTCTGGTCACCAGCTTTACTGTTTAGAACTGTTGTTGCACTTTATGATTAAACAATGATAAATACTCACAGTAAGTCAAAATGTTTAATTTCCACGAATATTATAATAGATTTTTTTTTTTTTTTTTATGGACTAACTTAATCCGTTTTGTTTTTCCAGTGAAACAGGCTTTCATGGACGAATCGTCGTGTGTTTGGGTTAGCTTTACATATTCATTTGTTTCTAGGATTACATTTGAAGTTAAAGGCAAATCATATCTTAACAGAAGTCACAGGGACTCGCAAGTAGCTTGTTAAGTGGACAGATCAAATAATAAAGATAAATAATTTCACTTCAGCTAAGCATGTTGAGACTGCACTCCACAACTGGTTACCTTCAGTTAATGTTGTTTTTCTCAGATTTCTAAAAATCCATCGGCCTCTCTACCCATAAAACCTTGTTGTTTAGGGTCGTTTGCTGGCACAAATTTAGATTACATTTTCACTCATATCGAAACACAGGGCTGTTCTTACTTTGTCCCTCCTCCCGGGATAAACATGACTGTAAGAGGAAACTCCAGTTCACACCAACTTGGTGTGAAGCACAAACAAACGTAGTCAAAATGGGTGCTAGAAGTGATTTACACTGTTCAACCTTCCACACATTCCTTAATAACAAGCAAATTATTTTTTAATATGCTAATCATTTCAGTGAGAACAGATTCTGGTTTCAATGTAAATGTAACTTTATGGTGGCGATGTTACACATCTTTCCGTTCTTTGCAATTGTCGCATTATGGAAATGTTGATAATCTCTCACATCACACAAACTTGAAAAATGACACATTTTCTTTGTGAATCTAAGCTTTAACCTGAACACTAACATTTGAGTTATTATAGAAATAATTAAAATACAAAATGTTTAGAAGTAATGTTTAGTAACAGCACTTTAAGCTCACCAGTCCAGACTCTTCTGCTGCGTTCACTTGCTGCCAGAAAGATAACGTTTGCACTTTTAATTTCTGTGGCACTTAAACATATCCTTCAATGTTAAATGTGTCTGTAGAACAGGAAACCTCATTGTTTTATAAGAAATGAATGTTGAAAAAGATCTGCTGTGATTGCTACACTGACTGGACTGTTAAATAAAATGTTTTAAGAAGAGGGTGCATGATTTTCTTTCCTTTCTGTGGTGTGGGGACCATTCCAATACCAAAAACTTAATTTATTAAAACTGCCACACACATTGACATCTTACCATGGAGCTAAATAAACTACAGACTGACTTTGATAGTGTCAAACGTCTTTGCAAATTCATTTTCACTCACAAAGGAAATAATCACTCAAAAGCCATTGTTTGAGGTTTTTTTGTCCGTTTTGTGTTTTTTTTTCTTTATTAAAGGAAAAGCATAATTACTACAAATTACAAATAACACTAATAGCGAATCACATCAGCCTACAAAGCAGATATTATGAATATTAAATGTTATAATACAAGTTCTCATTCAAGTATTTTACATTTTTCCATTTTATATATTTTTTTATTCCTTTTTTCCTTGTTTTCATCTTTTTTTCCTCATGACAAGCCTAGGATATTGTAATGTAATGAACTATTTTAATGGTTCATATACAGTTATATCTTATTCATATGGCTTTATGGAATTTTGTCTTTTTTCAGTCTTCAGACACCATAACCAGCCATATTCCTCTGAGCGACATCACAAACCCCAGCCAGGCTCTTTCTGTTCTCATTTTCTGCTCCACCCTTTCTCACGTCCATCACTCATCTCTCTAGTGTCCGGCCAGCTGGCCAAGCCCGCGTAAAACTGCCGTGAGGAGGGTGCGGCGCCCCCTAAAGTTTGTTTGGACAGCTAGCAGCAGTTCTCTGCTGATAGAGAAGGCTGAAAACTTCCAAAACACCTGAAACCCCCAATGTCAGGTGACAGGTGATGGCATGTGATGATCACATTAGAGGGAGGGACAATGTGACTGTCCCAGGAAGAAGGCCCCCTAGTGACAGTGCCATATCTGCAGCCCCACACACACACACACACACACACACACACACACACACAGCTCACCCATTCAAAGGCTTCACTGGTTTTGGGGGAAATGCAAGTTTTTCCTTGTCTGAATATTTTGCAGCTCTTATTATTCCATCTTTAAACCTCCAGTAAACACTTTGATGCATCAACTGTAAGCCTCTGAAAATGATCCAAATCTCCCTGAAGAAAAACCAACAAAACATTAAAGAAAAAGAAGTAGAGCTTTGCGTTGCATTTTCATGTTTCCAACAGTTCTGGATTTAGAGGAAGAAACTGAAGAACTGAAACACTGACAGGACAATGTGAAATCCACTCCACTCTGCTGGAACATCAACCAACAGGCTGAAAGATTACGGAAAAGGACCAAGACAAAAATAAAAAATAAAAGACAGGCGTCCAACACAGTTCCATCTAAAGATAGCTTCCAAACTCCTCAAATGCACCGGAACGTTTTTTTTTTTACTTTTTCATCTGACAGTGCTGTTTCACAGTAAATGGCTCTTCACTCAGAAGCAAAAACTTTGTAAGCTAACGGAAAACAGGTAATTTCACTAAGCATCTGGATATCCACACTTGTATTAAGACTTTTTTTCCCCCCAGAATTGAATATCTTCTTGTTCAATTTGCACCCCAAAACCAGATAATTTCAGTGTTTGTAGAAAACCCGGAGACTTACATGACTTAAACTAATTCTTCTAACAGTTTGTAGTTGGAAATGCTGCTCTGTCATCTTGGCAAAAAAATTGCTTTACTAAAAGAAAAAGAGCAAATTGACTGTGATTTCAACGTGAAATATTATTAGCTTACAGATTTAGTTTCTGCACTGAATACCCGTTGACGCCCTGATGTCCACTTTCCCTTTTGTGTCGTGAATTATGTTCCCGTTTCTGAAATCCACAGATGTTTTTACAGCCTGACACAAACCCATCATAAAAACAACAACGCTAGAAACATTGCAAATTGAAATTAAAAAGCATTAAAAGATAATCATGAGACCATTACAAAAAAAGTTAAGGAGTACATACACATGTAAGGCAAATATATAATCTGTTCTATAAACAAAAACAAGTAGCCGGGAGCTGTAATCATTTCTCTTCATCTGTCAAATTCACATTTACATTAGTGGAGGAAAATCCCTCTTCTATTTGATATCATCAGTACTCGAGTTGGATAAAGATTGAAATTATCCACATAGTTGACTGTAGGAAGTGTGACGACTGAACAGAAGAAGAGTGTGAATGGACTCAAATCCAGTCTTGAATTTTTGTCCACAGCGAGGCAAGATGTCGAGCTTTGTGTTCAGCTTGCTCACGCTGCTACATCTGTACTTGCGTCAGTGTTCATGCCTGTAACTGATGTGTTTGCTGTGTGAAACAGAAAAAAGGTGTCGAGCGCTCAAGGCCCAAATGGCCTCCTGAAGTTGAAGACCAAACGTTTGAGCCTCATCAGCGCCTCCACCCAGAGCACCTGCGACAGAGCACGACGGCCCTCCTCATAACCATCGCTTCTTCAAGTAATCCGGATTGATGATTCCAGTCCTAATCGTCACTATCGTCAACTGATGGATGGATGTCGAACGGATGGATGCAGCTCGTCTGACGGGGAGACGCAGGGGGAGAGAGAAAGTCAGGTAGCACCCAAAGGGAGATCATCAGGAACTCTCTCTCCAAAACTCTCCACCCCACAGTGTTTTGTTTAGATGTTTTTCTCAGAGAGGGGGGTGGGGCTTCCCCCTGGTTGACGTGTTTCAGCACAAAAAGCTACGACTTGCAAACAAAGGGAAGAATTACAGGACTTGTAACAGACGAGTGACAATTGGAAGACGGTTCAGAAAAGGGGGGGTGGGGGGGGGGGCAGCTTGGCAGACAAGAGCACCACCTAGTGATCTCTGCTGGAAGCGGTGACCGGATATATGGGTGATTTCAATGCTGTACAATCGACAATAAGGTGGCGGGCACAAGTTAGAAGCAGTAAAACCATTAAAATAAGGCAACTTTCAATGATCGTGTCCACATTGAGAGGTTGGGTCAAGTTGTTTTTTTTCCCCTCTACTTTTATCATTTGGTTCTTTTTTATTTTCCTCTCAATGTCCAGCCATAAAGTAAATGAAATATTTTTATTTTATTTTTAGACCTTCAGCTGAGTGCACTGGGGGCTCTGCGGATGGAAATGACAGTCGCTCTGTTCAAACCACTTTGGTCCGGTTGGATGTCAGGAGCAGCACGGCCTCCAGCGGGCCGCTAGCGGGGCTTTTAGATACTCAGTGTTGTTCAAACTATTTCAAAGTCTCCAATGTCACCACATGCCGAAGAAATAATAATCATAAATCTGAGATCTGGGTAAGGAATCAAATATCTTTCAGCCAGCAAGACAGTGATGATCGAAAGAGGGGTTCCAGTGACAGAGAGGGGGAGGCCAACATGAAAATGTAAAAAAAAAAAAAAAAACACAAAAAGTTGAAATAAACATTTCCAGGATGGTAAATCATCACTAAACCATCCACCGCGTGGACTGGCAATGATTTGTAAAAGAAAAAAAAAAAGTGTTTGACACCTCATCCATTCCTTGCCTCATTAAGACAGAAAAGGTCATTTTCTCTCAAAAACTTAAAACTAATTAATAAACCATATTAATTATTTGTGTCTTCCTTATTTCTCAATCAAAAGTTGTCGTAGGGGAAAAAAAAATAAACAATACTCTCATGCTTGAATGAAGAGCTGGACGCCCCCTCCCCCCTCCTGTGGCGCAGAGAGAACCAGCGACTTGCAGACGTGGTTGAGTTGATCCATGTAAGCCGGCGTGTTTGTGGTGTTACTTCAGTGTCTTGGCATCTGGTGCGGGGGCGGGGGCTTTCTGGCTGGTGGGTTTGGCATCATCCTTGGCTGCGGGGCCATGGGCGGTGGGGGCGGGGCTGGGGCCTGAGCTGGTCTGGCTGTGGGGCCGGCTCAAGGGCTGGGAGGGGTGCCGGCGGCGACCGTCCCCGCTGGACGAGTGTCTTCTGCGGCCTCCTTCCTCCATCGGCGGCTAGAACCAAAAATAAGCAGGGCAGAGTTTAGATTATGAACAACAACTACTTTTAGGAAGAAGAAAAAATCAATCTTCTTTTCAAATAGGTGGTGTAATGTGGACATGAATTCTGGAATCTAATGAGTAATTTCTCTTTGAATAAAAAACTACCCCTGCTAAAGCTAACACGAAAAAAAACATTGGTTGGCCATTTTTTTAATTCAAACTTTTAACACACGTGGCATGTGCTCCAGTGGAAACCTCCGTGAGCTAAGGTATCTTTTCAGGCTCTATGATTCGTACCGGTCAGCCTTTTCAAACCCCGAAGTATATTCTACTTACATCAATTCTGAAATCTTCCAGACGTTTAAACTTGCTCAGGTGCTCCTGCAGCTTGGGGTCGATCTCCAAGGTCTTGGTTTTAGAGTATTTAAGGTAGGCCCAGAACTTTTCCAGTCCATAAAGCTGGCCTAAGGACAGAATGCAAAAAATTAAAGCAAGTTAATCCCGATTGATTAGGCGAGTCTGTAAGTGCCTCCCAGCTGAGATGTATTTGTGTTGTTAACAACTATATTCTGGTTCTGATCTGTTCTTTTGGGGATTTCTCACCAGCCTCGTAGTCTTTGATGGTCTCCTCCTGGAAGTCCTTAAAGATGTCTGGCCTGAACTTCCTCTCTAGACCATAGCTGTAGTACCTGAACAGACACTCCAAACCGTATCTGCAACACAAACAAACACAAACAAAACTGAACATTAGAAAACGAAGTGTTTTGGACACAGCTTACATCCAAAACTCTACACATTCTATTAATTATGAGAACTGAGATTAAATTAAAAATCAATGAGCCAAAGGTTTATATCAGCCAATTACAAATGACTCAGCTGGTGGTCTATTAAGAATGGCGATCATAAAATAGAGAAAGCAACCAAGTAAATGTAAACTCTATGGCTGTATCTACACCTGCCTTTAAAAAAAAGTCCATCACTGGTTAATACTCTTACCTGTATCCCTCTTTTCCGTCCTCGACCACCAGCTGTTTGAACTCCTCGTACATCTTCCTGTTAAAGTGATCTCGTAGGAAAAAGGACCAGAAGCGGAAGAGCGTGTTCATCTCCTGTGACTGCCCGATTCCCAGCCGCTTTCGCTCTGTGATTGGTCAAGAGGAGTGGGATAAAATGGACAGGATTACTTAAAAAAAAAAATCTCCGTTCATCTTTTTTTTTTACACCACAAAAAAAAAAAAAAAAGACCAAGACATCATGTATCCCTTTATCTTACTAAATACTGCAGAAAAGTCCCTGACCAGGATTTTAATAATTTTTGAAGACTTAATAAAATAGAAAAGGAAGAAGAAAACGTGCGTGTACCATTTAGGCAGCGCCGGCGGTACTTGTGGTAAACGTGTTGCGTGAAGCCATTCTCCTTGAGCAGCTCATGAGATGGGTGCTGGAACTTGGGGAGGGACTGAGGCGTGCAGCCAATGTTGCCAGGGACTGGGGTGCCCTCTGAGGGGCTGGCGTTCGAGCTGAGGGGGAGAAAGGCGGAGGAGGGGATGGAGAACGGAGAGGACAAGCACATCAAATATTAGAAGTCCTGAGTCTGAGGTCATTTTCTGCCATTTTACTTTACAGTCATTAAATATATAAACCCTACATTTAAAAAAGTCTAACATTAGGGAGGGATGGGTATGATAACGGTAATAAGAAACTAAATGTGATCCCTTGAAGAATAGAACTAAGAATAAAACCACGTTCATCACCTAAATGCAGAGAAACTAAATACTGTAATATAATATGTTTTACTAAAATCTTGTAATGTCTAAAGGAAGAGTGTTTAGGGCAGAGAGTCTCACCTGACAGAGGCAGTACGGGAGCGATGCTCTCTGGAGTCCATCACCCAGCCAACATGACACTCCATTGGTGGATTAGAGCTGTGTCGAGTCTTCCTCTTCCTGGGCGTCTGAAAGGTTACAGAGAATATGAACATGTTTAGGTTAACTAAACAAATGTTTAGTGAGTGTGTTTTGTATCCCCTAAAATCTTAAAGCCCAAAGGATTTCACCCTCACACGGTGGCCATCTTACCTTGGCATCTACAGGCCGGCTCTCCTTCACCACTGGGTAGAAACGCGGCGTCATGGTTGAGTCCTTCCGGTGAGGCGTGCGTGGCGTGCGTGGCGTCCGGGCACTGCGGTAGTTGGGCGAGTCAGGCACGGTAGTTGGGAGCGAGCGAGCTATTGAGGAGGGCTCAGGAGCTCCAAAGAGTTTGTTCGCCAAAGCGTCTGTGGGGACTGAGGTCAAGGGAGCAAGAGATTAGTTGTGGAGCAGGAAAAAGCAGCACTGCTCAGACTTTATATGGCTTCTAAAACATAAAGCCTGTTCTAATCAACAGACCTAAAAAGTAACTCAATATGCTTCACTTTAATCTCAGCAATCCTGAAATGAAACTTTTGAAAGTCATTAAAAGGAGGCAGAACATCAGTGATCTAATAGCTTCATTTATTTCTCAGTGTGAACACACTGCGTCACAGGGCTCATGATTGATGATGGACTAAAGTGAGCAGTAAAACCACAGTTGTTACCACTTGAATAGAATGACAAGAGCAGGGTGAGCAGCCAAGAATTACCACTGCCACTGAATGTGTCATGATGGGGAGCTCAATGAAAGTGAAAAGTGCAAGCTGCCAGAGACAATCCTTCTCATTGCTTCCAAAAGCCTGACAGAAGAGTGTGACCTCTGCTCTATGACACAACTATGGCTAACAATGATGACTCAGTGATACAACAGCTTCAGTTACCAGTGTACCTCATGTGAAGACAGAAAGTTCATACATCATACATCTGTATTATTTGTTTTTGTGTTTTTCCGTGTCCTTACTTTGCTGGGGTCGTGGGGGGCCTGGGGGGACTTCCTGGTTGGGGTCGACAGGGGGTTCAGGGGTCAGGCAGTCGAACTCTTCACGGGTGATCAGGTGGACCTTCTTGAAGTTCTCCACCTCTTGCTGTAAAAAGGTGAGAAAACGGGCGTTAATATGACAACCTCTTCTTCCTGCAACTCTGATAATAAAGATCTGTAGATTGTCAATTTTAAAGGCTAAATGATAAATAATAAAAATTCACAAGGAGGGATAGGCTTTTGTTGGAAATTTAAATGCACACGGTGAAACGTGCCAAAAATTAAGCTCAGTACACATGACAGAATTTCACTGACAAAAACACTAAATCACTAAAAAAAGAAACATAATAACACTCCTGAAACAAAAACAATGCAAGGCCTTCCCTTCATTAACACGTTAACGTGGATCATCAACAGACCTTATCTGCAGTAATCTGGGGATTGAGACGCAGCAGCAAAACATGGCTACCAAAAACACCCTTTTCACCCTCATGTTGACGCCTTTTACTGTTTGACACAAGTACACCAACCAGCTGGGTTACATCAACACACAAACCCTGAATTTCCCACGAGTGAAGTCCTCTTAACAACAAAACAGTTCCTGCTCTTCCTAAAATTGCAGCTCGAATTAAAATCTTACGCACAACCAGTCTCATGTACCAGTCGCTGAACGTTTGATTATTTCCCCCAGATTTTAATTTGTGACTCACACTCGCCCCTTCATGCAACCAGGTATCTTCAGATTTTTGAGCGTCCATCTTTGTCTCCCCCCCTGCAGACCGTCAGCTCGACCCCTCAGGCAGAGGCCTTGTGTGTGGGGTTTATTTATAAACAAGCGTCCTCTGTTCCACGAGCAGCTGGACGAGTGCTGGCGAGCACGTGAAACTCCCACAATGACTTCAACAATGCCACAATGGTGCAGCAATGACAACAAAAACAAAACAAAACAAACTTTCTGTTCTGTGTCGGGTTTCCATATCCAGAAACAGCTCTAACTGAAGAAGAATAAATCTACTCATCATCTGGTCTTGGGCAGAAAAACCTCCAATATGACAATGACGTAACGTGGAAGCCGTCAGAAGAGCCTGCTTTGAGTTACATATCACTACACGTTGTGTTATTTGATTGTGTTGCCCTCAGATACATATCAAGTGATCACAAAACTCTCCACTGACACTTCTTCTTATTGTCATCAATGGAAAGGGCTAATGATTTTTGTTTTATATGACAAAAATCTGCAACTTCTGTTAATTTTGCTGATTGAATATAAAATGTCAAAATCAGATGTTAAAAACAATTTCAGCACAAATATACTTATTTAAAAGAGGATAGTTTAGCCTAATCAGCCTATTCATAACCCTCCAATTTTAGCTCTTTCACTTTCAATTACCAGAAAAATGTTCTGAGCTGCCAACATCGAAAGAGGCTTCTCTCTACTGTAAATCTGGTCATCAGTGTCTGCAAAACACATACCTTTTGGATCGGTGGTTAAACAAAATTAAGAGACTGTAGACTGAAAAGACAGTGATGTCAAAAATATTTTGCAAACTGTATTTCTCAATGGTGGTCTAATTAAGTCTAGTGCCCGTTTTTTTATCTTATTGTTGGAACTCTGGCTAAAGCTATGTTTAATATATATCTATTACTATATCTAGGGCTGGGCGATATCGCCAAAAAGTATCGATCATTATCACAATAAATATCAAATCATTATGTCTTCAAGTTCAAAGGCTGATTTTTGCTCCGGAATAAAAGCTGAAGACGGTTAATCGTGGTTTTAAACTTTTCTTTATGGTCAGAACACAACATATTTTTTTTTAAATTAAGTAAAATATTTTTCCTCAACACACTAAATATCTGAATAGAAAAATGAAGTGCTAATTCGTTCGTGATTTAAATCAACCAATTATTTGAACATTTGTTATATTGTTATAGAGGAAAATTATATTACGATAATTGTCACTATTGTATTATTGCCCAGCCCCAAATATAATAACTGGCACCTACCCCCAACTGTACTGAAGTTTTCCTTTACTGTGAAGTTATGGAAACTAACCGTAACATTTTAAAGTTTTTAGGCTTAGAGACGCTATACCGGCTTGATTAACGGGTCTCTCAGCCTACCACACACAGCAGTAATGGTAGAATCAAACAACAAAAAAATAATTAATCATTCATGGGTCAACCATTAAAAATGACCTCACCTTGATGGTGGCGTACTCGGGCTCATACGTGTCGTCCCACAGGTCCTGCTCATAGTAGAAGAGCCCATCGTTGATCACCTTGACCAGCTCGCTGCTCAGCTTGGCACGTGATGTGTGGTGTCCCGTGCGGTCGCCCCCAGGGTGCTTCCTCAGGTAGGGCGGCGTCTGTGTCACAATCAAGATCTTGTTGACGTCTTGGTCGTCAATCTCACCGTCCGTTTCCTCGTCCGACCAATCGGTGAAGGTGTTGCGACGCCCGTCCATCTGCTCCATCTCCTCGTCGAACATAAAGTCGAGCTCCTCCGGTTCGTCCTGCTCCGCTCCGTCCTGATCAGAGTTAAAAATCAAAACAAAATGACATTAGAAGGTGTTGGCGGATTATGTGTTTTCATTGTTTAACCTTGTTTGATCACTTGTAATTACTATATTCAATTGGGAAAATTAAGACTAAATAAATGGCCACTTGTATGAGGTGTATCGAAAAGACATAAAACACGCCTGCACATTGCAAAGTGCAAGAAATACCAACTATCAATCAATTGATTATTGATCTTAAGAAAATGAAAAAGGACAATACTTTTTAGTCAAAGTCATTAATCAAGCAAAATGCCAAATATTGTTTGTATCAATATTCTCAAATGTCTATTTTATATCCTGAAACTGAAAAAACGAGTTTTTAGATGGCAAAATGAGCAGTGTAGTGCAATTTTGTTTCTAGAAGAATAAAAATTAAGAAACCCTTTAAAAAACACATCGTCTTACTCACCTTATTTCCTGAGGTAGCAGGGGCGGGCGAGGGTCCAGGCTGGGGCACCGGGGAGCGATTAAAGTCATCTTTTTCCTTCTGCTGCTGCAACGAGGGGGCCTACATCAGTCGACCAACAAAGACCACATAGAAGAAGGGAGGAGCAGGAGGAGGAGGCGGCGGCAGTGGGTATGAAGAGGAGTGAATGGATGGAGGAGTGGATACAGACATGAAAAGTTAAGAAGATGATGAGGAGAGGGTAAATTGATTTAACAGTTTAAATAGCTTTTTTTGAAAGACAGATGTGTTGAATGTAAAAGAGTAAATGATTCAGCACTAATTGTTTTAAAATCAATGATAAAGAATTTATTTACGACGTTAAAAGGCACTTTTCTCTGATTTTACAGCAACACATGTTTCTGCTGGCAAGGCATCGTGATCATATGAGTGAGTGGCCCTGAAGTTCACCTCTTCACTGACCTTGGGTCTGGCCGGGGAGGGTCTTGGCCTCTTCTTAACCTCAATCCAGGACTCAGAGTCCAGGTCGGGGAGGCTGGCGGAGAGGCCCTTGGGCATCGTCTTGAGGTTAGAGGTGTCTGATTCAGTCCTGATCTTTTGCTTTACTGGTGTGGAGGCCCTGGGAGACCCTGTAGCAGACACGGTCACAAAGAACATTTGAAATGACTACATGTAGCAAAGATTTATTTTGCAAATTATGTCTTATGAGAGATTTGAAACATCATATTATTAAGCAGCATTTTTGTGTTGCTTTCTCTGTCCTAGAGTTATTTTAAGAACTTTATCCAGTTTGTTATTAAATGTGTCTCTTCATTATACTCCCACACAAAAAAAAGCTGTTTTTAATGGTCAATCATAGCCTATAGCTTTTCATTATCCATTATCATTATCCATTCAAATCTGTTGTTTATCTATAAATTTAGCTCATGATAGTAGTTACAAATAATGATGCCTGTGCATCGCTTTGTACGATGTATAGGCCTACAGCCTACGTCAGCTGGTTAATTTGCCTAATCTTCGCAGTTCTTTAGACCACGTTGGAAATGCACACAACAATGGGCTGAAGGAACCTTTTAGTTCCTTGAAAAGGGCTCTGGGGACGTAAAAGTCCTGGGTACTTTTGGTCGAAACACAGCTTAAGGCAGATCACTGCAGTTGAGTGAAGAAGAATGTTTTTGACCCATATTTCAGTTCCATTATCAGTGTTCACCTGTGGGCTCCTCGGTCATCTGCCTCGGGATAAACTCGGGGCAGTTGATGAGCTGAGAGAAGTCGGTGTGTGTTTGGTTAGGCATGTTCAGGCCCGGCAGAGGCCACTTCTCTGGGTCCACCTTCCGACGGATCTTCATGTCGATCACTTCCACTTCCTTACTGTCCTTCAAAGCCTGACAGGAGAGATGATGGGTCAGTTTGTCCGTGCGGTAGAACTACAGTCTCTGCATAAAGTATCTCACTGATGTAGCATTAGCCAATGTGATTTCATGTATTCAGATTGAGGGATTTGTGGATCTCCTCATACCTGGTGAAATAAGTTTGCTGTATTGCTCCTTTCTGTTGTTACGGTCTTCTTGCACTTACATATTACCGTGGTTTGTTGACAATCATGCTGCACTTCACTGAATTTAATGTGCTTATTTTTATTCTTCAGTTACGCAAAGAGCTCAGGAAAGAATAACTCATTATGAGCATCAAATGTAATTAGAATTGCGGGCATGTTTTTACGCAGATCGCTTTACAGCTCTCATCCCCAGCAGGTGGATTAAATAGTAACTTAGCTTTTCAATGCATGCTAAAATCACGCATCTCCTATCACCTTTGGTTGACCCGCTTTGCTTAACAAATACGCTTATTTTCTTTCTTGTTGAGATTTAGATAAGAAGATTGATAACGCTCTCGTGTCTGTCCAGTAAATATGAAGCAACAGCCAGCAGCTGGTTAGCTTAGCACAAATAAGAGTATTTTCCCAAAATGTCAAGCTACTCCTTTAAATTAAAGTTTTAAGACACGTTTCCTGAAGCATTATACTTCTTATTCAGATTTGTCTTACTCTCTAGCGCAGATGAATTACTGTTACAAAAGCTAAAGATGCGATTACCTTTTTAATACTTTGTTTTCAATTTACATCTGTCGGAGAATTTTGTAAAGTGTTTTAACTAGAAGTTGAACGGAATTAACTTTGGGTAGAAAATAAGTGTTCACCTCAGTTATCTTTCTCACGCTGCACTGGTTACTCAAGACGAATCAGTGAGTAAAAGAAATGTGCTTACTTCAAGAATGAGATTGACATCAGTGGTTAGGGCCTGTACTCTGTGGAAACTGGCGACTAGTCCGATTGGCAGGAAGCCCTCCTGATCCATCTTCCTCCTCAGGAAGAAGTCCCGCTCCAGGTTGTCCAGGCTGAAGTAATACTCACTACAGGCGGCAGAGAAACAGGGAACCACATGATCAGCAGTATCCAGTATATACTGACAAACAAGCTGTTTGTTGCCATTTTCTCACTTTTCCTTTGCATCCAACATTGGAGATACTAAGACGCAAGGAAAGGCCAAAGTGAGGGAAACAAAAAGACAACAACAGATTATACAGACAAAGAGACCACATGGGACTGCAGTGTCCAGTAAAAACACTGGAAACAGACTTCGTTTTCAAGTATTTCACATGTAACCAAATACCTTTCCAAGGAACTAATCAAACACAGAATATCTGACAGATTTCAGGAGTAACTTAATATAGATTTAAACTGAAGGGGGCACAGAGTCCACACAAGGAAACCGTTAAGCTTCTTCAGTTGGGTGCCAAATAAGTACCGCTTCAACAAACAGCGTTTTAACTGCCAAATTTTCGCTGCAAACCAAATCCAGACTTCTTAACAGGAATTGATGAGCAGAAGCCGAATTGATCAAATCTAAACAATACACCACCCCCATCGACCATCTCATAGGGTTCTGCAATGTTCAACAATTTAAATGACATTTCATGCCAACCTAATACCCTTTCACAGTCAAACTGCTCGAAGAATGACAGAAAACCAATAGGAACTCCAACGCCTACAAGTGTTTATTAAGTACATAAATTTATTGACATTATCACATTTTTGTCAGTACTTCCCAGCAGTAAATAATAATAATAATTCCTAGCAATATAATTAATCAATTAACGTGACCTGGACACAGCTCCCTGGCAGAAAACGGATGGACGGATTAACCAATTAAAAACAAATTAAGTAATTAATTTAACATTTTGCTAAAATCAACACTTGCCCATTATGAGATGACGACTTTTCCACTGGTGAACCGGTGGGATTTTTAAATTTTTTTTATTATGAATAACATACATCAATGCTTTTCAAGACTTTTCAAGATTAGATCTAAACAGCTTGCACATATGGCAACCTTGTAGTCTGAAGTGTAGTCAGGTAAGAAGTTCATCATCTTGTCCTCGAAAGATGAACAGCTGGACAAATTAATGATTATTATTAATTATTTTATCCTTTTCCTAGTCACACTAGAGCTAATAATATAGTAAATAAATAAAAACTTAAAATGTGCCTGTGTCTCTGTGAAATATCAGACAGTGACTGAGTATTATTTTCTCGCTTTATTAGCTTCAATGCTGAGATCAGAGTTGTGAAAAGTTCTCCCCATTGAGGTTTAGTCAGAGAAGAGACATGAAGAGCTCATCACTTCTACAGCACGTCTGCACGTTAGAGCTGACTGCACACCAATCTAGTATTTGTTCCCTTGTTCAGTGCCGTCTTGTTCCTGCAAGAGAGAAGCTAAACTTACATCTGCCTCTTGATGTAGTCCTTCAGCAGGTCCTGATCGACAGAGTAAAGGTCGTTGCTGCTCATGTTGTCGTAGTAGTAGGTCACCGTGTTGCCAAACTTCTGGCCGAAGGATCCGTCTTTCATATCATAGGACTTGTAGCCGTAGTGGTAGTCATAGTGGCCTTGAGAGGACAGAACAGTCAGTTAGAAGGACAGACAAGAGATCCTGCCCTCAAATTCAAGCCTTTCTGTTCAAGTTGAGATGCCACAGAAACTAATAATGAATTTCTGACAACACATAACAGCTGTTTGAACATTCTGACTCTACAGAATATTTCAATTTTATTAAAACCAGTTACCATTAACCAAACCATACAATGGGTTAATATTTGATGGTCAGAGTTGACATTGTGTTTGCTAAATTATACCATTTTTTTATTTAGCCAGGAGCACTTCCATTTTGGATTAATTTAAACACAGATAAATTACCTAGATTTATTAAGCTTTGTGTCTAACCATTCCTTTATTGACAGCTTTCGCTCCTGTCTGACAAAAAAGCAAATTTGAGAAGTTGTGTGACACAGAACACAACAGGAGACAGAGACCAAATTAAAGTTCACAGTAGAAATAAAACTGCAATCAAATATCTCTTTTAGTAGAATATTAGAGAGTATACTTAAATATACATCCAAGTTGTATTTGAAAAAGTATAAAAGACCTCTCACAAAAAACATAAAAACACCACAGAGGCCGAATGTAGTCACTGACAAATACAAAGTGTGTGAATGTACACGAGCATGTAGGAGCACACAGACACGAGAGCCAAGTCAATACACAAAGACAAAGTTCATCTGCTCAGCATTAACTCTGACCGTTTCTTCAGTGCTGCTGAAAGTCAAAAACGTGTCCTCAAGGAGACGGGAGGGACGTAAAACTAGACTTAATGGACGACCACTCTTATTCCTTCCTCCGGGTTGTTTGTAATCTTTATTTTCCTCTCACGCTTTTCTTCCCTCTTATAAAACTCAAAAAAGGTACCAGTAGTTTCTCTACTTCAGCCTGGGGAGGGGAGTGAGGGGGCAGCAAACAGAGAGAATAAATGAGAGAAGGGGAGATGGTAAGGGAAGACAATGCGTAGATACAGAGAGCGGACGTCAGGAGGAGAGAGGGAGCATACTGCCAAAACCAACAGGCCTTCGGGGAAACCTGCTTCTGCTGCTGAATCCAAGGCCTTTCCTCAATCCAACACTCTCTGGTTGTTATTGCACTTTTGTTTTCACTGAGTGGGGCCAGTTCAGGGTCTCCAACCACCCAGTTTGAGAGCAACGTCGGCCCAAACAACCAAAACTACATGCAACACAAAACGTTATATTTCATTCAGATTGTTACAGCTCCTCGAACTATTACTAATTAACATGTTATATCTTCTTTTTAATACATGGAAGTTACTGCACTGCAGTAATTACACTACAAAACACCCCATAAAACCACAAGTCGCTGTTTTCACATGTCTTTTGGACATTAAAGAGCAACAGAATGTGTGATGTGTCCATTGCCGCTGGACAAAATGTTATGGTTTGTTGCAGGAGTGTTGCTCTGAGTGCCTTGCTGCTTGTCCCAGGGGATGGGTCTTATTACCAGTGTGTAAACGGCTGTAAGTGCTTACCTTCTGCCTGGTTTATTGTAGTCTGTAGTATTTCTTATCTTTATTGGCTCAGGTTTTCGGCAGAGTTAACAGTATATTTAATGTTTTAAATTCAAATTCATCTTCAGCACTGCTTCACTGAATATAGTTTATTTCTGTTTACCTTTTTATGATTGCTTCTGTATTACTGTATATTATCTGCTACATGGCAGAAGGGAGTCACACTTAATTTCACTTTACAACCTGCTGTAATGTGACAAATAAACCTACGTTCTATATATTATTAGCAAGTAGCTCACCCCGGTTTGGGATCGGCTCATCTACTGTGGGTCCAAACAGGACTTTAAGTGACCAATATACTACTTTACATTTTGGGTTGTCCAACTATCCAACTCTTGACACCACAACAAAAACAGTCTCCAAACGCAGCGCGTGTAGACGCAGCGACCAGTTTTTGTTTTTTTTTAACGGAAACTCGTCTAATTATGTTCACCTTTGACAGAAATACATTAATCAATAGTGAAAAAGAAAATGCGGGGACTGGACTGAGTGCAGCAGATCTGGAAACGATAACTAGCAACGGCATCTCCCAACAAAACAAGCGGACAAGCCGGAGGTAACATTGGAGAAGGAAGAGAGGAAAGCGAGCAGGGAGAAGAGTGCAACTAAAGAAGTTTGGACCAAAGGCTTTCCCACTCCCCCGCCTACCCCTGGCTAATGTCCGGTCGTTGGAGAGTAAAACTGAGAAAGTAAGACTAAGGCTACGTTCAGACTGCAGGCCTTAATGCTCAATTCCAATTTTTTCCCCAGATCTGATTTTTTTTGCTTGACAGTTCACATTATAGATTAAATGTGGCCCACATCAGACTCCAGTGTGAACTGTCCGCGACCTGAAAGTGACCCGCATGCGCAGAAGAATAACACCATGTCACACGCAGCACGCTGTTGCAGGCAGGAGAAGTAAACAAGGAGCAACATACCTCCGGTTAGCTCGCGGGAGACTCCCGTTTTTTAGTGTCCTCTCACGGGTCACATTTCTCCCGAATTATGACAAGTGTTCACAACTTTCAGTTCTTTTCTTTAGGGTTTCTGGCGCTGTGTACAACATAACTGCTCCACAACTCACTCCGTCCGGCTCTCTCTCTCTTCCCACTGTGTCCGCTTGGACAAGTAGCATGCACGTAACTCACAGAGCTTGCGGTCCGGTGGATTTTAGGTATAAGAAAGGGAATTTGTGAGCAAATGATAGCAAGGTAGAGAAGGAAGAGAGCCACAATTATGGCTTTTTGTGGAGCTTTTTCATTCAGCGCTGCTACGTCTACAGCAGAACAACTACTCTACAGTGACTTCAAAGTCGCATCAAATGCGACTCAAGTGTCCAGACTGAGGTCACATTTAAAAAGATCCGATCTGTATCGGATTTGGACCACATACGGAAGTGGCCCAATTCCGAAGTATAAAAGATCGGATTCCATGTGACTTGGCCTGTTCACACTGTCATAAAAAGATCAGATCCGAGTCACATAAGGGCAAAAAAAAAATCGGATTTGAGTCACATTGGCCTGCAGTCTGAACATAGCCTAAGGTTCGCTGAGCAATGGGAAAGCAGAGACTGCTGTGCCCTCATCTTCACAGAGACCTGGCTGCATAGCAGCGTACCTGAGGAAGCTGTCACACTTGACGTGAGGAGTTTATTCGCAGACAGGAAATTAGAGCCCCGGTAAGACGAGGGGAGGAGGACTGTGTTTCTACATAAATAATGCTTGGTGCTCAAATGCAGCTGAAGTGGATAGACAATGTTTACCAGATCTGGAATTTTTAATGTTGAGATGTCAGCCATACTATCTGCCCAGAGAATACTCCAGTGTTTGTTTACATTACTCCAGATGCAAATTCAAGAAGTGCACTACAGGAACTGTATGTCATCAGCAGTCACATGACAAAACAACCTGATTGTGTTTTTATTGTTGCTGGTGATTTTAATCTCAGAACAGTATTATCTAAATTCCACCAGCATGTCCACATCCCCACCAGAGGAACAAACACACTGGACCACGTCTACACCAACCTTCCTGGCAGCTACAGAGCCCTCCCCCGTCCCCATTTTGGTCTATCAGACCATATTTCTCTGCTTCTACAGCCAACTTACACCCAACTGATTAAAAGGTTCAAGCCAACAACTAAAACAGTCAAAGTGTGGACAGATGATGCTACAGCAGCTCTACAGGACTGTTTTGAGAGCACAAATTGGAGTATGTTCAGAGAGGCCGCCACCCAGGAGAACCACATCAACCTTGAGGACTATTATAAAACCTATTTCCTTATTGTAATAATCAAATTATTATAATTCATACAAATTATGACATCATACAACAGCAAATGTGTTGTTGATGTGGTGTCTAAATCAGTGGTGCTGAGGTGGAGCAGGTGAATAGTTTCAGCTTCCTGGGAATCAGCATCACAGAGAACCTGACCACAGTCATCTCACATCTCCACGCTGGTGAAGAAAGAAAACAACTCAACTACTGTATTTCTTGAGGAAGCTTAAGAAGGCCAAATTCCCATGCCTAGTTCTTGTCAGCTTTTACAGAGAAGCAATCGAAAGCATCCTGACTGGAAACATCAAAAACTGGCAAGCGATGTGCACGGCCCAGGACCGGAGGGCTCTGCAGCGGGTGATTAAAATTGCTCAGAAGATCATTGGTACCCATCTCCCGAGCATCAGTGATATCGGTGAGGTGCCTACGCAGAGCCCAAAGGATACTAAAGGACAGTACGCAACCCAGCCACAGCCTGTTCACCCTGTTGCCTTCTAGGAAGAGAGAGAGAAGTTTCAGCTGCCGCACCACCAGACCGCAGAGCAGCTTTTTCCCCCAAGCTATCAGACTCTCAAACTAATTGATCCTCAGCACTGCTCCATTGATTATAGTTTATTTCGGTTAAAAAAAGCTACAAGAGCTACAAACTCAATTTCACCCTACAAACCTACCTACAACATGTGGCATGCTTAACTACTCAACCAGCTGTGCCTAGTTTGGGAAGTGTCCATATCTCAAGGACTGCGATGCGATTGGTTGCAAGATGAGCAAGATGTTATGCAATACAAATTATCAACAGTATATTGAGGTTTCTAAGTTTCTTAATCAAGGAAATGTACCCATCATTAATGTTTTATTTTTAGCTTCAATGCTGAGATCAGAGTTGTGAAAAGTTCTCTTCATTGATTTGTTTAGTCAGAGAAGAGACATGAAAAGCTCATCACTTCTACAGCACGTGTGCGTATTAGAGCATGAGATGTACAGTACAGAAAGTGTGTGCTCATGGTCACAAGCCCATAGTACACTGTTAATATATAAGCTTGTTTTTACTCTGTTTCAGTTTGTATGTACTGTCACTTGTTAATGTTTGAGTCACAATGACACATTCTTGCACATTTGTTACACTGATAAGTAAATGAAGTGGAACTAAGAAATGTTTCCAGTGGTGACAAAGACAAGCAGCACTGTGGTGAAATCCACACCAGCACCTTTGTGAGCCAGTATTGTTTGAGGAAACAAAGAAAAAGGACGATGGCCACATAAAGGCCAAGAAAAGAAAGTTCTCTTCCTCAAACATCTTTAGGACAGAAAACTGGTGGTTTTAGTGTTTTACTTTTGTTTCTTTCAGTACAGAAAAAAAAAATAAATAAATAACACATACCTCTCCCACCCCTGCCTCGTCCCCGGCCTCTTCCTCTTCCACGTCCGCGACCTCTGAACCCTCCGCGGAACGGTGCTCCCTCGCTCTTCACACTGGAAACCTCGTCGTGGTCGTCACGCCATTCCCGCTCGTACTTTTGACTGTGCCAGTCTGCAGGAAAACCAACAAGCTTACCGTCAGCACAAACATATCACCACAGAACAAAGATCCTATCAAGTGGAGTTTGAAGCAAACACAGTTGAAAAGCCAGACAGAACTTTCAGCAACTGATAGAAAGTTGACATAGTTCCTTTAACTTCAATCTTTCACACAAACAAGCAGATCACGTCTTCTTAGCTGCCACACATTTCATTTCCTCAGTGAATTTAAGAAACCAAGGTATTTTTAGTACTGTGTACTTTTAAAGAGCTGAGCTATCAAAGCAGAAGTAGCACATTAGTAAGACCACACTGATCTCTCAACATCCTGCAGCTGAGTCATGCACGCTGTCTCAACCAATGCGTACCAACACATCAGCTACAGATGCAGTAACAGGTATATCCAGGGCAACAAATTCAAATCTGCTGTCACATGCTATCACAAGTCAGTAACCTGAACAGAAGCTGCCCCACGTTGGCTCGCAGTGATGCCACTTATGAGTGATGACATCACAGACTGACCTTTGAGGTCGTTCCTGGCATTGGGAGGCAGGCGGGGGTTTTCATTCTGTCTGCTGTTGTTCCTGGAGGCCGAGCGCTCCCTGGGACCCTCGGACTTCACCTCGATCATCAGGGGAACCCACTTCTGCTTGTTTCCTGTTTGTAAACGACATGGAGAGGCAATACAGTGAGAAAAGAAAAACATGAATTCATTTAAATTCCTTAGTCTGTATTTCAGTTTTGACTGTCTGCAGGAATCACCTGAAACTTTTCATAAAATGTGTTTTTTATGAAAAAGACTTTTTAATGCTCCAGAACTCTGCAAAAATCTCAGTGTTTCCCATACGTTCATTTATTTGTGGCGGCCCGCCACAATATCAACAGCCACAGATTGATTTTCGATTTTTTTTTTTTTTACTAGGCCTATTTAAAATTGTATTTGATTGCAGAGCACCGTCTCTTTCTCTTTCGCACTCACCCGTCCCTCTCTCTCTCGCTCTCTCTCCCTCATGAACACAGCTGCACAAATCTGTCCAACACAACGCTGTCAATGTCAGAGACCCAGCTTTAAAAAGTTATTAGCAAGCATGTAAGGAGCCTAGTTAATAAGGAGAGCTAAGTTAACCTGGGTTTTCGAGGCTAGCACGCTGTATATAGCTGGTGGTAGTCAATATCGACTGCACGTGCACAACTTTCAACTATATGAATTACAAAGGTTAAAGTCCCCATGAAATCCAAATTGATGTTAATTAGTTTTTATTGCATATGCCTTACACTACTACCGTAATACTACCGTACTGTCTGCCGGATCCCTATCTGCACAAGTGCAAAGTGGTCCTGTCTGTCAAAGAAGGTTACCACAAATGTGCCTGTTCATAATTACTTGTGTGTTGTTGTCTGTTCTCATCTCAGCGCGTCAAATACTTACGCTTTCAGAAAGGCCGACAAAGCGTTATTTTATCATAGTATTTGATGCAAAGGTACCATTTAGTGTCTGTATGAGACGCCCCCGGGCGTGTCTGTATGAGATGCCCTGTCTAGACCGGAAGCGCTAGTAGCTAGCTAGGTAGCTAGCTATGTTAGTATAAAAAGGCACTGACAGCTTCCCAAAGCCCATTACCCTACCATCACAGGGGTGTGCCTAAACCCCAAGTCAGTGATTGCATGTCGACCAGCTAACCCTATAGCTGCTAGCTACTTTGCTAGATTGTTGTCATTATTAGGAAAAATGTACTGTTGAATAAGGCTTTTCATATCTTAAGTATATTCCTATTACATCACAGTGAACAGTTTAATCTCCAGTGATTAAAAAACATTGTTTTCTTGATTTGAAAGATTTAGTTGGATCATTTTGAATAGGCAGATTTGCGGTAATCTTCTTTGACTGACAGAACAACTTTTGCGCATGTGCAGAACGGATCCGGCAGGCAGTACGGATTTGGCACTGACAATAAACACTTCTTTATTAACTGATTTTGGTGAAACTGGATCATATTGGATCATATTTAATAGAGAATATTTTTTGGTTCTCCCCCTGATGTCCCCGGCTGCCCTGCCTCAACCATCTGTGATTTACAGAGTTTGGTGATGAACAGATAACGTTAGCTTTACTTGTTGCTATAGTTACAGCTAACTGCTACTAGCTGTTAGCTAACTCTGCCTGGACTGTGAGCTTGGAGCACTGGGGGATTGTTAGTGTTTACACTTCTAATATTACTCAACCCATGGAGGTTTGCAGGCCGGGGGGTTTGTAAAGTTTGTGGCCAGGGGCGGGGGACCCAGCAGGGAGTGATGGCGGGTAGTGGCTCCTGGAACAGGCGGTGGAGCCAGGGCAAGCGGGCAATGACAGCGTTCAACAGCCTCCCAGTAAATACAGCCTGAACAGGACCAAACACAGCCTCAAAGACCAAAAGGGAATACAGTACCGAGGGGATTTAACGTTAGTGAGCGTCAGAATGGACAGATAGTGGTTTAGCAAAAACTAAAGCTAAGTGCCGCTAACTATCTGTCTGCAGCAAGTTAGCTCGGTCAGGCTGCTAGCGGCCCTATTAGCGGACTACGGTCCCGGGGGTTCCAAGACCCAAGAAAACCACCTCGGTACTGTATTCCCTCTCGTCAAACTGGCCTCTGTCGGTCTTGGATGATGTGTTTGGTCCCAGCTGCTGTGTTATTAATTTAATTGATGACCCCCTCCTAGTCATACTGCTTTTTTTCTACATTTCTGTTTCTCTGTTAAAGTTTTAATTTTTTTTAATAAAGCAGCCAAACAACCAACATAACTGTACTTTAAGGTCGTAAAAAATTAAAGGCAATTTTTGTTAATTGATTTAAACCCTTAAGAAGTATTAATCGCTTGCAAATACCCAAAGTATAAATATATATTGGGAGATAAATTATTTGTTAAAGTTTTCCCCCACTCATCTACTTTCAAAAGTTTACCAGACAGATGTGCCACATTGTGCCGTTTCACCAATAAAAGACTCCGCAGCAGAGTCTGCCACAGTACCTCTGCTGGCCAGCAGGGTGCATCAGTGGTCCACTCTATAAAACATCTGGCTGTAGGGGTGGTGTGGGGAAGAGTTTGTGACACAGACCAAATGCAATGGGAGAGGGGGAAATGACAGGCAGTTTTAAGCAACGTGGCCCTATGACTATCTGCTGACTGAGAAGGTAAAGGGACCACAGTAGACACAACATGTAAAATACTGCTACAATAATATCAAAATCACCGCACTACAGGTTATATTGCAACAGATCTTTGGAAAGCAGCAATGTGAGAAAACGGTCCAAAATTTTTAACCAGCAGCCACAATGCTGATCGTTGCAATTAATCTAGCTTTGGCACCCCTCAAACTGATCATCATACTCAAAAAAGCCCAACATCCCAATTCTTAATTAGTCAGGGGCCGACCAATTTAGAGTTTAAATGAGACTCGGCCCTGCACGAGTGTTCAAGTGATTTTTGTTTTGTGTGTTTTCGTGCTTCAATGCCGAGATCAGAGTTGTGAAAGGTTCTCTTCATTGATGTTTAGTCAGAGAAGAGACATGAAGAGCTCATCATTTCTACAGCACGTCTGCAGGTTACGTCTTACTGTCTCCAATCAATGTAAGAAAAGTTTTGGTTTTATTGTCTTAAACAAAACCGATTTGATATTAGAATATTTAGAAGGTATACGCTTGTGGTCGTCAGTCTAAAGCGCCCTGTACGTATGTGAACTTGTTTCCCTTTCATAATTTGTATGAATTATAATAATTTGATTATTACAATAAGGAAATAGTTATCTCAACTGTCTATACTTTCTGGCTTAGGCTGATATTTGCTATTAAAAGATTCTTACAACTAATGTGGCAAAACCTGGCCTGAGAATGGTGGCAGTGTTCGTCACATCGATCAAAAATCCCCTGTATGGTGGCCATTTTGTGACATTTCCAACAAAGGCCGGTGTACTTCAGTTCATCTTGAAGTTGAATGTGAGTTAACTACAGTCAGCAAGGTAACTATTGACAGATGTTAAAACATGCTGAGGTTTAGCATTAAACATATAAGTCTGTTTGGATGCTAACATTAGCATATGCTGCTGATTAGTACTTGTCAGTTTGCATTTTAGCTTGCTAACAAGGCCAACTGTCTGATCCATAGTAACCTTTTTTCTTCGGTCCGTTCTTCTGGGAGTCGTCATCACCGTTCTTCTCCTCTCCAGAGTCGTCGGACTTGGCCTTCAGGTTCTCCTTGCTTTCCTCGATGATCTCTCTCTTCTCCTTAGACTCCTTCTTTGTCGTTGTCGTCGTTGATGTCTTCTTAGGAGGAGCCTGGAGAGGAAACAAGTTGAGACACAGAGAGACATTTAGAAAAGAGCTGTAGAAGCCATGAGGTCCATCAAAGGAGACTTAAGACCTATTCAAACAAGAGAAGAATTATTTGCACAGAACCTGCTACAAATATTAGTTTTTGGTTAAACATGCACAAGAGTACAGTCAGGCGATAGACCACTCACCTTACCCCTCCCCCTAACAGTGATGGTCAAATATGTTCAGTCAACTCAGTTTACTTTTACTTGATTAGCTAGCTAGCTACAGCTGAAAAAAGCTGCTAACGACATTTGGTATCATTTCATCCAGCTAGAAATAAGTGATTGCTTTTGTCCACCTCTGTAAAATGAAGGGCAGACTACTTCAAAATTTATTAGGAATTAAGCTTGCTAAATCTGCATAGTAACAGTAACTGAGGGTGGCGTGGGGTGGGGTTTAGCGAACAGTCGCATGGTTCAAATTACTGTGTTTCCTGGGCAATATCATAAACTGAGCATATATAGCACTGGGGAAAAACTTTGTCCAGCAGTTACTGCGCTCATTTATATATTCTATTAACTACACTCTTAACTTCAAATGTAGCATTTATGATCTGTAATAAAGGCGTAAAATAAATCCAATGAGTGGATTTGAAAAAAATAATGTTAAGGAACACTACACTCAACAGTATAGTTTGTGGTATAAACTGGTATCAGTATATAAAAACATTTTCCGTTCAGAATGTTTTATACTCAGATCAATCAAATTGTTTGAGAAGCATTTTATCCATTCAGGTTGAAATTGCAAATACTACCTCCTCAGGGCCACAATAAAATTGACCAGGACAAAGCAGATTTTGCATGTGGTTTCGACTTTCCGGTATCACGCCTCATTTTAGTGTTTGATTGCAGCAGAGCAACAAGAGTACAACCACTATCCTCCAGCCAAGCCTTAGTCAACACAGTAACGGACACAGGGTAGTGCACCCTACATGAATTGCCTTTGCTGGTTATCTTTGCTCCCAGAGCTGATATCGGAGTTTATTCAAATCAAACAGACTTCAGGCGTTCATCTGTGCTACGGCAGCTCAGCTATCAGCAACACACATATCTGCGAAGTCTGCAGCTCCTGAGGTGTTTGCATAGAGTAATGCAAAATGTTCAACTCAAGTAGAGTATTTACTAGACGTACGACTAAACCCATTCTGTCCTCATACCTCGACAATGCTCAGCCTTCAAGCTGTCATGTCACAAACTAATCTAAATCACACTGAACATGCTACACATCGTTAGATCGGTTAGATTCTCCACAGTTCATGTAACAGAAATAACAAGCCCCAAAGTCTAATTCATATAGATTTACCAGTGTAACCGGCATGGTCCAAGAGATGATTCTGTCCACATACACACAGCTTGACATGCTCGGCCTTCAAGTTGTCACGTCACAAACTAATCTAAATCACACTGAACTAAAAAGACCCACTTCAAACGTGCACTGTACACTGTACCGTGCACTGTTCTTCATAACATTGTTAAGAGTGATTCTCAAACATCAAACAGCGAGGGAGGTACAAGCAATTCTGTTACTGTTACAAACTTTCCAAATGTGCAAATTATAATCCTTTATTTTAAAAAACATTTTTTAAATAATTGTGATTAGACTGTTGGAGTAATAATTTTAGAAAGACATTTCAGAACTAACTAAAGTAAGCATTTGTAATGACAGGCTGCAGTGCTTAAGATCATTGACCTTCCTACTTTTGGTTGTTTGCAGGGTTAAGACTGATAAATCAGTCTGCACTGACATGTGAGGGTTTTTAATTTACTGTACCAGTGATGGATTATAAAACTTGTTTATTGAAGCCTTAATTTGTGGGAATGAGGGATGCTCACCCCTGCTTCTCACTAGCGAATATCATAATAAAATGTCTCATCGGTTTCATCAGATGGTGAATTCTGCTGCCCATTTATAATGTCTGCACAAGCACAGTGACATATCTAATTCCTAAATGCTCACATGCTGTATGTAAAAGCATGTACATACTTTGTGTGAAAAAGGTCTAATAAAGAAAGTGAATATCAGCAATGAGAAGATCAAATCCAAAAACACTGTCAACATCTGTAGGCAACAAAGGCATGTCAAAACTTTTTATTTTGTCCCAAAAGACTGCCTGATTTTAATTTCTACATTCTCAAAGAATTCATGAAACTTGAGCTAAAGAAGGAACATGAGTGATGCAGTCAGGCTTTCGACATAACACAGAAATAGAGACATCTAATGATAGCTGGAGTTGCTGATTCATGCTTGTTAGGGTTCACTATAAACATATGTATTGTGTAGAGCAAAAATTTGTTCAATTTTCAGTTACCAACTGGACATAAAAAAAACGAAACACCCCAGTTTTATAGAGCAAGTTCAATTGTGATATATGGACTACTTGGAAGTGTATGCTTATTTCTCATTTATTGTATGAATATGATATGATGGTTGTTTGATGTTGCCGTTATTATGTTAATCCTTGACATTTTGTAGATATGCGTGACCTGGTATCCCCAGTTGCAGATGACTAAGCAGGGCTAATATTAGAAAGCTAGGCTAACTAGCGTTCACTTTTTTAAAATCCAAACTTTGAGTATGACTAAATAGGCTTTAACTGACTATGACATTGTTTGAGGTTTCTTTCTTAGTGTGGTGTTGGATTTTTAGATGTTTAATTTGTTAGAGGTATCAGAAGTAGGTAGGCAGGCTGCAGATTTCATAGGCTGCTTGTTGAACTTACAGTGAATCTCCATGAGTCTCTGACCTGCCTGACAGTCGGCGGGCAGGACACGGTCCGTGTCACTGCCTCAATCTGAACAGAGGGAGGGAAGAGCAGTTTAGAGAAGACAACGAGGTGGACCATGATGTACACACACACACACACACACACACACACACAGTTTATAGAAAATGTACACATGGGTGTACAAACAGATGACCAAACTCTACTGCTAAGCAGTTTCAAACGGACATGAGTGGGGAGTCTTAACACTTGTCTCAGCTCCGCCCAAGTCATCTTTTATTCCTCATCCCCTGCAGTTACATCTGGTCATTTTGTGCCACGTGGGAGTGAAAAAACGTAATCATTGCCTCTTGAAAAGCTCTTCTTTGTTGTTCTGCTCTGCTCCAACAACATAAGGGCATTATGCTTCTTCCAGTTCCCATCAAACACACTGAAAATGCCAAGTAGATGCTGCCCAAGCTGTGGATAATAAGAAGCATCTACTGCGTCTACTGAGCTCCCTCTGGGGTTTATAAAGTCCATCCCATATCATCTCAATGGCTTAGTGGCTAATGTTGTGTCATCAGGACAGGCATAATTGTGTTTGGTTTATTGCTTTGCATATTGCACAGGTGGGAATAAGAGCTGATTATTTTTAGTAAGAACACAAGTGTGAAATGAACCATTGGGGTAGGTGACCTCAGGTGATTGGTGGAGAGTGTTTTCAGAATAAATAACGACAGGTGGTATAACGGCTAAGAAAATGTCGACAGTAAAGCGGAGATCAGAGGGACGCCGACTCATTCTTCTTCTTCCACCACAGGAAGATACTGATGAAGCTTCTGTTCCAGTCACTTTCACAACAACAACAGGGAAGCGACGGAACACGGCTGCAGTTACAGTATAAACCAACACGAAACCAACACTACACTGACAATCTTTCCAATCTGGACACAAAACAGACAACACAATGGGGTGATAATCTAAAAGACAGCAAAGGCACAACAGCCTGTCCTACACCACACACTGTGGACTCAACACAGCCATGCACTGGTATGTGACCTTTCCCCCCCCCAGGACAGTTAAGGAAGAGTTAGCGTCTTATTTAATGCCTGTGTGCAGCACTTACAAGTAGACACTTTGCCTTCTACATCAGTTATTGTATACAGTTATTGTATTAAGATAAAATATCTTGAACTATTCTTTAAAAAGGGTAAGCTCACCAAAATAAGATTAAAGCTGTACTTTATACTGTTTAATATTCATTGTCAATGAATCTATCAGTTCATTTCCCATTTAATCGATTATTGCTCATTTAATCTAGGGCTGCAAGTAACGATTGTTTTCATTATCAATTGATCTTCCAATTATTTTCTTAAATAATCTACAGTTTTCCTTAACTAGGGGTGTAACGGTACACAAAAACCACAGTTCGGTATGTACCTCGGTTTTGAAGTCACAGTTCGGTTTATTTTCGGTATAGTAAGGGGAAAAAAAATGGAAACATTAAATTGCTGCTGGTTTATTATGAACTTTTGCAAACATCCAAATTAGTTTACAAACTTTCAAATTACACATAATATATAAATTATATAAAATAAAAATAAGAAATATACTGCTAAACTAATAAAATACTGCTGCAAACTACTAAAGTTTTCCATTAAATAAAATATTCTCAGTACAATGCCACATATAGCTAATAATATAATAATATATATATATATGGATTACAGTGCAGCATTCTTATTCTTCTTTTATACCGTCTATGAGCATTATCAATCCCAGCTTGAAAGCCTGCTCAGTTTAAAGTCTGTTTAAATGCCGAAAGGCGTTTGTTGCACTGTGCTCGTTTGTTTTTGTTTTTTTTCCCCCCACTTGTTGCAGTGACGTTCTCCTTCATGTGTGTTGCCAGAAACCCGATTACTACTGAGAAATATCGCCCACGCCGCTTTCGTCTTATCAACTTGTCCGCTGTTGTATTTCACAAGGAAACCAAAGTGTGTTCCCAAACAGAAGACCTTAAGGGAGGGTTTTCAAGCTCTAGCTTCTCTGCACTAGCCATGATGTTTAAATTACTAGTTAGCGAGAGGCTAAAGCCTGCAGCTTGTGTAGCGCCGTAAGGCTGAGATTTGGTCCGCCACTTAATATGTCTGTGTGGAAACTCAGAATTTACGTTTGTTCCACACACAAAACAAGCCTAATATTTAACGTTAAAGATTGCATTCGGTGCACATGTGCACCGTTCTGAAAGTCCTGTACCGGAACGGTCCAGTACGAGTACACCCCTATCCTGAACCCAATGTCTGATGAAAACCCAAATTTACTTAAATTTACTTTTCTATGACACTAATTTTCACATTAGAGAAATTGAAACCAGCAAACGCTGGGTATTTTTGCTTAGAAATAACCAAAAGAATAATTTGAATAATCAAAATAGCTGCCAACAAATTGCTCTATTAATTAATGGACTAATCATTCCACCTCTAATTGTTCAAAAAATTAAATCACAGGTTGCCAAAGCCCTAAGTGATATCGTCAAATTGCATGTTTTGTTTGACCGACAGTCCAAACTCAAACATATTTAACTTAAAAATTTATTAATGATGATTAATGAAAATTGCTCTCAAAAGTTGTTGATTGATTAATTTTGATGATTGCTGATGAATTAGTGTAGCTACTGTGTATTATGTTTTGCCTTATGTATCAGTGTCTATACACCTCTTACTGCTGTTAACTCAACCCAACAGGTAGTTTAAAGACACATCTGTGACATCTTGCCATGAAGAGAAGAGTGTGAAGAGAGAGATAATATCACATTCTGAGAAATGTCCACTCTCACCTTAAAAGGAGAATAGCAAATTCGTTGAAGTCACAGAATTGTGGCCTCAGATAAATGAACTCTCAAAGTGGAAATGTTTATTCTAACTTTAAAAACGGGACATTTTTATTGCATGAAATCTCAAGTTTAGCTTTAAACCACAACACCAAAGCACAACCCCTGCACTCAAAAACCCCTCTATCAAATTTCACTGTCCGTATCCCAGTGTGAATAATCTGTGCAATTCAGCAACTGATTTACAGCTTAATGTTACGTGATGGACGGTGAAAACTCCAGCCCCCTAAGAATAGCAGCAGCACAGATCCAGAGGTGGTTTATTGAAGGGGATCCCTAAAAGGACATCCCTTCCCAGGCTTTGGCCACCATCTTTACCTCCAGCCCTCCCACCTACGATTTCTGCCACCAGATCAGCCGGTTATTCCTGGCTCTGATGAGGTAACCTACATTTTCCTTCTCGGGGATACGCACTCTCCCTCCATGTTCGCTCAGAGCCTGGCTGCCTAAAATAGGTTAGGTTACCGGGGTCGCTCTCCCGGTGACACACTATCGCCCAGAGATCAAGAATAGAAAACGGCTCTGAGGGGATTACTGCTGCTACTGTAAGATGACACAAATTAGACACATCCCCTATTGGACCAACAGCTGTAGGGTACAACAGAGTAAGTTTATAGGGGACGGGGTCAGTATGTTAGATGTATGGTGAAGGGTTCTTTCGATTTCTCACAAACTTAGGGTCTAGAACTTGGGTGGCCAGCCGTTAATCTACTAATTGTCTGGTCAACAAAAAAAAAAGAAAAAAACAAAAAAGAGACATGACCATCACAATATCAGAAAACCCAAGGTGACGTCTTCATATGTCTTATCACCAAAAAAATAAATAAATGTTTAGAAAATGTGTAACGATTAATTAAAAGACACAATATTTTATTATTTTTCTGTTGAACAAGTAATCCCTTCAGCTGTAATCATTTGGAAAATGGTGAAAAATGCCCATCACACTTTACCAGAGCCTGAGGTGACATTTTGTAACAGTCCCAAACACAAAGATACTCAGCTAACAATGATATCAAATAGAAAACATCAGCAATTCCTTACGTTAACAAATAAGCTGAGCAGGTCTTAACTGGAAATGAGCTTCGACAGCAGATGTTTTAGGCTATCCCTAATGATCAATGTATTTATGATTAAAGTTTTTGATGGCAGGTGTTTAAGATTTTCAGTCTTTATCTGATTAAGTGTCTCTTCTGCCCTTATTTATTCCTGCCATTGTGTAATTCTTTAGCCTTTGGATAGTTTAGTGTTATACTGTAATGCTCTGATACCATTTTAAGATTTCAGATGAATAATGGCCCTTTTGCCTCCATCCTTTCATCTTTTTTCAACCTTCTGATAGCATGATGTTTAAATATACCCATTTACAATTACTTAGATGGCTGTGTGTGTGTGTGTGTGTGTGCGCATCTATGTATATATGGAACATACTGGAGCAGTAAGCACAATAGCGTGCAAGAGTATCTTTTCAGTTTTAACACTTCAGGTCTGAAATAGGATATTTCTACATTTGACGTTTTCCTAATTCCTGACTGTCTTTTTACAATTTCCGAAAGACTGATTTCAGAGTGGAACATTTTGCCAGATCCCCACTTTGAGGTTTGCCATCTTTGTTTTGTCTCCAAACTGTCCGGGGAGGGTTCTGCCATGGTGGTGAGCCAGGACCAACTCTATTCCATAATAAAAAATAAAGGAAACCATGCAGTCCTGAGGACACAGAGTCATGCCAGCAAAAGCAGACTGCTCTGTCTGGACGTGCTGTTTAGCTGCTGTGTAATTACAACCACTAAAATACCTATTGTAGAAAACTACACATATCCACTACAGCAAAATGTAGCTGGACAAGCTGGGCTGCTCATTCTGATTAGTTGGTGAATAATATTATAATTTGTGACTTGAAGCTACTAATATGCTCTTTTTATAAACACCATCCTCTGTTTCTCACTCTGTGTTGTCCTTCATGTTAAATTAGTCTTTAAAAGCTTTCTGTTCACCTTTATCTGACCGTTACAACCGCGGTAACAGACAAATTCCTTTCTGCCTCCACCTACTTCGCACCACTGCTCCCTTTTAAACTAGCATCCAACACTCTCCTGCAGACATGGAGTTGCTATTTTCCCAGTAAAACAATGGATTGTCCTTGTGATAACTGTTCAGTTATCTCTTATATGGCAAATCTATGTCAAAAAAGCTTTTTTTAAATAATCTTTCTATAAAAATCCTGCTCTATTACCAAAGCATCTGGTTTGAATGACATCACTGTACCATCTCTCTGCAGCCAAAATATACTGTTGAACATTCAATCACTGTATAGTAAGTCTACACAAAGATCCTCTGGACCGTCCAACTGACAGGAAGACAAAAATGCAAGTACGATATTGGACTACATGTGGAAGTAGATGTTTGAAATGAATTACATGGACGAATTCCTCAGTTTCACTACGGCATATTGTACATGTACGTACAGGTGCATGTATGGACATCAGGTTGGTTCCACTGCAGCAACTATGAAACAGTTCAGTGACACAGCATAGACACCACCTTCATCTCAGTGTGTCCTCTGTACATCTACCAACCTGTGACTAAACTCTTGTCAAACAAATAACACTGACCTGCATGTCTTTAGTTGCGATCTCCCCTGGAGTCGGCCAGCTGTTGGCGTCAGCAAAATCTCCAACCTGAGCAACAGATTGAAAAAAAATAAAAGAAGAAAAGCCGAATAAGCAGGAGTGGCCGAGGTATCTGGAAAATTAGGTGTTAGAGCAGGTTATCTCTGAAGACAGGTGACTCTATCCTATGTCACGCCATCAGTGTGGATACAACAGCTTTATTGAATACTATTACTACAGTAAAAAGTAAACAGATTGACACAAAAGATTATCTTCAGAGGAAAGCGTCATTGGTTATGCACATTTCTCCTCTGCGCCACATAAACAAAACAAGTTCAAATGTCTGCGTGACATCTTTGTGTACGCCTCGTCTTCATGGAGTGAAAGGAAACAACACTACTTTAAAGTATATGACAGCTAGAAAACACAACTCCGTTTTCTTTACATTCTTTACACACCTGAGCGTGTTTGCACAGGTAGCAACACTTTCATAAGGACTTTGGTTCAGCTGCAAAATCCAAAGCAGTAATTTAACAGAGACACTTTCTCATCTCTATTGTTTTTTTGAACTTACCTGCTGTCAACAACCTACTTGTTTTGTCTTTAGCCACATGTTGCCAAGGATTAGTCTAGATCTGTCTTTTGTTTCTGCAGCACTTCACGCAAAGGCGTTATAAAAGTTTGTAGTCAAGTTGTGGCTTACAACTCTGGAGTACAACAGCCATCAAAAAGGTGTAAAGTTGTGAATGAAACCCTTCGGGGAGAGTTTGTCTGCTTTATCTGTCGGACCATTGGCTCACCAGGAACTCATATTTGCATTCCAGGAAGCGTGAAGGGAGGTTACTACACAGCTTGAGGCGTGACCGATAAATGTCGGGACTCTGCCTGCGCATACCTTCACTGAGCTCTGAAGAAGCGACCCTGAACTTATTGTCTATATTTATATTAAATAAAGATTGTTTTCTCAAGTTATAATCATAGTATGTTGGTATTTAGCAGTATTAAAACAACATACTCCATTTAGAATATCTATAATTATCAAAATTGTCTAGATCTGGGTTTTTTAAAGTCTGAGACCAAAGGGCCCCCCCCCCCTCAGACAAAGTCCCCCACCCAACCTTTAGTTTTCTTGGTCAGTTTCTCTCAGTGCCTATGGGATCATGATTATCTTATATATGATCACACAGACACTCAACAATTGAGCCAAGGTAGCCTATTATCGGTGTTTGACATTACATTAGACTACACCAAAATAAAGGTCTGCTCTAAGGCATTTATTAGTCTCTGTAATAGTGGGAAAATCTGTAAAAGTCCCAACTACATAATTTTATTAACCAAATCACACACATTCAGGCTCTCTCTTTTTGATGATTAATGTTTTTCACAAAGCCTACCATGAAACTGTTTGGAGCCCTACCCAAACCTCTGGGGAGGACCGTCTCTCATTTTGAAAACCTTTGTTCTACATGGGACTAAAGAGAGAAATCAAAAGTGATTCCCTACTCAAATGAAAATACACGCCTTAGGACTTAACAGTGTGGCTAAAGGCGGACTCACACAGGAAGCGTGTGCGCTGCGTTGTGGTTGCTGGAGCAAATAGTTGCCATTGTAGTCAATGCTTGAGCACACACTAGAAGCACTGCAGCGCGTCACAGAAGCGGCTCTCCGCTCCGCTGCGCGAAGAATAGGCAGCCGGTCTATTTTTGACAGAAGACACGTCAAGCAGCACCAAGCAGATGAGCCGGGCAGGAAGTCAGGCAAAATCCGGTCGATTTTCAAAATAAAATACCTTGTACAGACTCCCGATCGTATATCAACAATAAACACAGTTAAAACAGATCAAAAAAGAAATAATTTAACTATGTAGCCTTCTTAACTTATATTGTCAATACACAGTTATTTTTAAAGCCTCACATGACCAGCTCTGTAATCACACAACCACCCTGATGACGTGAACGCTCGCAAGTAGAGTTTCTCATCTCCATCACATGTGATGCGACCGCAGCACTACGCAGCCCTCACGAGGGCAAAGGTTGCTGCACTAACGTCAACTGCATGTTTTCCAGGAAAGAAATCCATTTAATATGCATCTCGATTTCCAAATAAATTTTCTCTTAAAAAAATACTAGGATTTGACAAATATTATTTGTTAGACAGATATAAATAAATGCACAAAAATGCATTCACATAATTTCTTTTTAAGAGAATTAAAGAACCAAATACTACATACTTCAATGGACCTGTTGAACCATCGTTATTTCTGCCAATTACATGTAAAAAAAAAATTAAATTAAAAAAGACTAACTGTAAGAGGAGGATATGATTCAACAAAGAACTTTAAAGCCCAGGAAAAACAAATGGACAATGACAGTAATTTTAATACTATTTTAATATTATGAATGTGCTGCTTTCTCAGAACCTGCAGCTACAATACTTTCAAAACTGGGCTGACATTGAAATTAGAGACCTGCACTCCCTCTAGTTCATAATTTCTCTCTTTCTAGATTCTCTTTATCTGTTTTCAGTATTCCACCCCGGCAGTTACTTTCAACCAAAAAGAGCCATGTTGATCTGTTACTCCTCATTGGTTCTTTTTACCTACAACCAAATATTACTGAATATATACAGTTTATATATTTGGGCTACTTCGTAGAGTATTTTCTGATACAGGCGTACAGACAGACACACAACAATATTACCTTTCCTCCACGTCTGGCTTTGGGCGGGATCCCTGCTCTCACCACCTTGGCGGGGCCGGTAGACTCTGTGGAAACACATCAAGAAGATTGATGTTACAACTGGCTCTCCATACATGAACATACATCATCTAAAAACAATCTGACAACAGCAATGAGCGGAGGGGAAGGCGGGAAAACAATAGATTCCCATTTGAAATTGGATGGATTTTTGTCTCGAAAAAGAAGGCTGTGGATCTGCTGGGGGGGGGGGCCTGAAATCAAACACAGAAGAATTTACTCTCATGTACTGACTTGCATATCTCAGTTAAATTAGTTTCATTAAGTTTTTCCATTACTTATCTTATCTACCTGTGGCTGATAGGCTCTCAATAAATCATCTGCATGTTTTTGGCTTTTTTTTCCAGGTCGCCAGCTGTGGCATCATTTTCAGATAAACTCAGCTAAAGCAGCAGCAATAAGACATTACCACCATCAATTCTCTGTCTTGTCATCCCTGTAACCAGGTACATTAATGACAACGGCTGCTCATTTCAACAGACCAAAAGAAAACTCAGAGAGGGCAAAAGTACCAGAATAGAAAATCAGAACATGAGCACACTGATTCAACAGGGAGCGAAATGATGGTTAAATCAGGCCATTAAAAAAAAAAATTTCCATTCACAGAAGTACTTTCTCATGTTATTCCATTAAATGATTTAGGGCATTTTATCCCTACCCAAAACCCAAAGGATATTACATTTACAATGATCTAAAAAAGAAAAAAAAAAACATTTCAGGAGCTGGCTTTAAATATGACAAATGAGTAAACAATTAGCAAAACTCTTGTTGATCATATTTTTCTGTGAATTGACTTATTGATTAATCGATAATCATTTCAGCAACAGTCTGCTCTCAGCATTCTTATGTCTATGTATGATTTGGCCTGGTAACCTGGCCTATTTATTTTATTGAATCCCCCTTAGCCTTCAACATAGCATTTAATACATCCAACCATCCATAAAACTCAGACAACATCAGAGAGGAATGTAAATTCAGTCAGTATGTTTGCTTTAGGTACATTATTTTGTCAAGAGTAAGCATTTATTGGTTGTCTAATACCGTTGGGTAACTTCAGTTCTGTACATAACGTGAGAGGCTCCTGTCCAGTGAGATCTAATAAAGCTGAAATAGATCCCTAAAAATATAGTTTTCCTCATGAAGACACGCATTAATGTCTATTGTCCACCGCCCCCGTACTACCTCATCATGAATCTTCTTAAGAACATACCAAGAGACCAGATTTGGCTTGCGTCCTGAAGGTTGAGATCTTGCCTGTATTTGGCTGAAGTGTCTCCACAGTCTACTGTCTCCATTAGACTACAAGGGACTGAAAGCGACTCACAGGGACTTCACCCAGCCGTTTACGCCAAAGAACAAATCTCAGTAAGCTTCTTAAGGACGATCATGTCGGGGGACGAGGCCAGAAAGAGAACGAGAGAGGGGAATAAAATCCTTTGGCAGACTGTCTTACAGACAACGGTATAAAGTACAGAAACATCTAGGGCTGGAAAATAAACCCAATTTATCGAATGATCTCTTACAAACATTTTCAATACAAAAAACTTCTGAAACAAATGAAACAAAAACTAAAACCAGAAATTCAACCAACTGGAGTCGATCGACTGGAAAGGACTGCAACTAAATGGTTATTTTCTCTATTAATTGATCATTTCTTTTGTCAATAAAATGTCAGGAAATAGTCAAAAATGCCTGATATGCTTTTTCAAAATGTAAAAGGTGACATTTTCAGATGTCATTTGTTTTGTCTGACCTAGGGCTGGGCGATATGGCTTATACATAATGTCTCAATATGTTTAGGATATGCCACAATATACGAAATATATCTCGAAATACACATTTTCTCTAACATAACATAAATTCTCAAACTGCAATTCAAACAAGATGATTTTATAGAATATGGACTGCTGCAGATTAAACTTTCCAAAATGAGCTTAGCCTTAAACATCTACAGCAGTAAAATGCAACACACACACACACACATTAATGCAGCAGTTACATTAATCCAAAAACATTACATATATTAGTAAAACTAAATGAGTACTTTGCCATTCATTTGTTGGTATTAGTACTTTTGAATTTGAATACTTCTTCCATCTCTGATTAGAAAACCCACACCTAACTTCACCTGTGTGTTACAGGCCAAGCCTTCCCCTTTAAGGATGGTTGGCCTGATGGGTAACCTGTGAATGTGATGGAGTCTAGAGGGTTTGTTGTAATAGGCTTTCCACGTGCGTGCGTGCGTAGCTATGCTACTGTAGTCAGCCATAAAGTCTACACATAAGCTCAGGTTGCAGTACAATAGTTACTGAAAGACTGTGTGCTGCATTTGCTGATACAGAAAACAAATAAAGTGTCCCTCTTTGTGTTACAATGGCTTCACTTGTTCTCTAGACAGCTAGGTCCAGACTGTAAAAATCTAGCTAGTAAGCAGCTACTAGTCAGGCTAAAGTAAACAAAAATACTCTAAAACTGAAAGTCTGGAGCTGCGGTTAAAGTAATCAAAGCGATCAGATGCCCTTATGTTTCTGAAAACTTTTCTTCTTTTTTTTCAAATTTTTCACAAGATAAACCATAGCTCATACTCATTAATCCGTCACACACCTACTTAAATGTACCATGTTAGGTTTTAGTCTTGTGAATATTATGCCTGTGTACCAGTTTGTGAAACACAGCAGGCTGTTGAGCTCCTTTTTGCATTAAAAAAATTTTTTTTTAATTTTGTATGTTTGTTTGCACAACACACACACACACACACACACACACGCAACAGTACTGGAGCACACTTAGAGCACACGGCTTATGCTGAGGTACAACAAATCTACACATTCTTGAGACTAGATACTGAGGCCCCATCCACACTACTTCATTTTAGTTTACAAACGGAGAATTAAAACGAATACGATCTCCGTCCACAACAGCGTTTTAGCTGCATTTTGGAGTTGATGCCCGTCTATATTAAAACGACTAAAAACGCACATCTATTGGCTGTTCAGGTACACTGGGCATGTGCGGGCCAGTGCAAACATGAAGATGGTCTATTCCATATTTACAGAAGATTTGGCAAAAGAATAAATAAATACAGATGAAGAATCAGAGCAGTTTTTTTTGCATTGCACCAATAACGAGCTGGGACTGTTGCTGAATGTAACACGGGACTGTGGCGGCGGAAAACATACTGGAAGTCGTCGCAAAGTAAACGGCGACATGCACAGTATAAGTATAGGCTGTGTTATTTGCACAGTACAGAATATCTTAATAAAAATACCATGTCAAAAACCCGGTCAGTAGCATCGTCTTTCTGCAATCAGAGCTGAGCATGAGTGGCTGCATCATCATTTCTAAAGTCGTCCGTTTTGGGCCGTCTTCACTAAAACGCCCTCCAGAGTTTTATAATACATAACGGGGTTGGCAGCGTTTGCAAACTTCTCTATTTTAGGTCTTCATTTTCGCTGTTGTAGTCTGGACGGGGAGGTGCAAACGTAGAAAAAGGTCTCGGTTTTAAATCGAAAACGCAGTAGTGTGGATGGGGCCTGTCAGAAGAAAGTCATTAATAACAAAAAGTTAGGCTGGGTAAAGCAACCATTATAGCTGGACAGAAACTGACGAGAACTTGAATTTCTTGACTGGATTTGACAATTACTCTATAGCCAAACCAGCATGAATATTACCTTAACACATATCACAAGATGTGAAATTAAATTCAGCCACATAAGAAGTTAATTCACGAGTGTAGATGGGTTAAATAGTTCAGAATCTATAAAGAGAAATGTTTTCAGTCATGTTGAGAGGTCCAGTGAAAGAACGTGGGGGCCAGGAAGGGCGATTAGTGCAAGCCCAGCATCTGTACTGTATGTTTTCTTACTAGCAGTCTTACAATCCTTTGGATAAAAAACTGACCAGCTGGCGGTCACGTTTGCAGATAGCATGACTGTACAACCACACTGAGAGGTCTGTCAGGCAGAAAGAAGCACTGTACGGGAGAAAATAAGACTCTAAAGGTAGCAGGCGCAGTCACTAGATGGAAATGTTCTCTGTCTACACAGAGTAACCAATCAGTACTTAACAAGACACAAAACTGTCTCCTTTTAGCAGCGGGGGCAAGCAAACACCCCCTTGCAGAGTCGTGCAATTGTGACTTCATGACATTTCATAAAATTCTGAAGCAGCGGTGGCATTTATTTTGCAGTGGCAGGCCCCCACACAGCCACTACAGGGGGTGCACATCTTGAGCAGACCTACAGTTGCATGAATGTACAACAAAAAGGGGGGGGGGAGGGGGGGGGGGATCTGATACAAGCAAGGACATTTTGCTAATCTGAATCTTTTGTTTTATTTCAATTGCCCCTTTTTGTTAATGATTGATAAAAACGAAATCCACTTTTGCTGGAGTTGGGGGTCTTTTTGGGGAACTTTTTTCAGCTTCTCAAGGGGGCGTGATAGAAAAAGGTTTACGGCCACTTACATAAGCTGATTCTGTTGTGAGTACAACAGTATATCAAAAGCGGCCACAGGAATTCTTACAAAATGCCAGAGGAAATGCTTCGTCACCTCCCCACATGAAATTACTTCAGTCATTACATTTACATGCATAAATCTACTGTCACTTGTAATGTTCAGCAACACTTTCAGCACTGGTCATGGCTCTGGTCCTCCATATTGTAAAAACTATGCACGTGGAACCACCAACATAGACAGAAGCACAGCAGCTGACTTCCCTTTTAGGAATAAGTGAGCAGAATCTTAAGAGAGAAAACTCCACCAATTTAGCATTGAGATGCCAGAAATCTTTACGTACAACCCTGGTGTCTAAATCACTCACAAAGCAACTTGCCCGCTGACAATTCAGCTCAAAGATTTAGATGTGTTATGTTAGTAGTGGCTAATGTCGCCTCGAGGTTCACAAAGAGCAGGCTGCAGGTCTGGCAAACTTTTTTCTCCACACCCCGAGATTTTCTTGTAGTACTTGTAGTCTTCAGCCCCAACTGATGCTGACTCGAGTGACATA